TTTACCCTCCTACGCCAGATTCCCTGCATCCACGGCCGCGCCGCATGAAGCCGCGAGTCTGATGTCAGGAGAAGGCTTTGTATACAGGCACGGTCCCGCTAACGACAATTCCCCCCAACAGAAAGGATACATGATGCGTGAAAACACAAAGGTTGTTGTTGCGAGCAGCCGGCAATTCAGCGATGAGAAGCCTCCTGCCGAGTCAGAGGCCTCCAACGATGCAGCTGCGAGAGCCACCTCTCGTAAGACAAGCGCCGAGCGCAAGCCCGCTTGGACGAAGGAGCCCTGGATCGGTAAGCCCCGCAGGAAGAGCATCCGAACAGCATCTGGTCGCCGGCAACGCATGTCCGAGGGTCCAGCTCCACCGCTTCCTGGACAGGAATCAGCGGTTGGTGCCAACCTCGACTCCGTCGCTGAGAAGGGTGACGACGATGACGATGTGTTTGAGGATGGTGAAGAGCGAGGTAGGGTCTTTGTGAAGGTGGTTGGTGTCAAGGATCTTGATCTGCCCCTGCCAAAGCACGAACGCTGTCACTTCCAACTGACCCTTGACAACGGCTTGCACTGTGTCACTACGTCTTGGTTGGACCTCAAGCCATCTGCCCCTATTGGTCAGGAGTTTGAGCTCGTCGTGCTCGATGACCTCGAGTTCCAGCTCACTCTCCAGACTAAGCTCGAGCCTCCTGTGGCGCCACAGGTTATCCCCACACCCTCCAAGATCATCAACCACAAGAAGTCGGCCTCTGCCTTCCGCAATCTCCTCTCATCGCCAAAGAAGAGGAAGGAGCAAGAGCGCAAGGCGCAAGAGGAGGCTGATCGTATCGCCCTTCAAGAGCACCAGCAGGCACAAGCTGCCGCCAAGCGGAATCACCAGGCGACAGCTTGGGAACTTCTCCACGACCTCGTCGGCCCCGATGGATCATTTGCACGTGCTTATGTCTGCCTCAGCAATCACGAGAATCAAGCTTATGGACGTCCGTTGACAGTTGACGTCCCATGCTTCAACGAGTGGGCCGTCGATAACACTGGCGCTAGCAGTGTGAAGAGCAAGCGTGGAGGTGTTGTTCGTCGTCCACCATACCGGATTGGCAAGCTTACTCTTCAGCTCTTGTATGTCCCCAAGCCAAAGAACGCAAAGAACGAGGACATGCCCAAGAGTATGAATGCCTGCATTCGGGAGTTGAAGGAAGCCGAGCAAGTCAAGGATATCAGCTTCGAGGGTACCTTGAGCCAGCAGGGTGGCGATTGTCCTGTGAGTCGGAACCATTGAACATCTTATAGAGCTCAGCTAACATGACATGTAGTTCTGGCGACGTCGTTTCTTCCGATTGGAAGGCACAAAGCTCACTGCTTACCACGAGTCGACTCGTCAACCGCGCGCTACGATCAACCTAACCAAGGCTTCCAAGCTCATGGACGATAAGAGTGCTCTACAACAACCCTCTGCTACAAAACAAGGTGGCCGACGGAAGTCTGGCTTTGCTGAAGATGAGGAGGGTTACATGTTCGTTGAAGAAGGTTTCCGTATCCGTTTCGCCAACGGCGAGGTCATCGATTTCTACGCCGATAGCCGCGAACAAAAGGAGGCTTGGATGAAGGTTCTGTCTGAGACTGTCGGCAAGGACATTGCTCAGAATAAGGGCTGGGCCGCCATGGTGCTGGAGAAGGAGCGCAAAGAGAAGGCCGAGAAGGCTTTGCGGTCGACCATGCCATCGTCAATGGGTACGCCAACCGCCGTTCCGGGCCCCGGCCGACGACCGTCACACACACGAACTCAGTCTCACGATGCCCTCACATCGATGACGAGCCCCAGGGGTCATGCGCGGACACAATCACATGCACCAGCTCCTCCTCTAAAGGACGCTCGCATGTCACACGCGCCGCCACCACGGCCACGGACGCAGGAGTCGAGCAAGCCAGGACGTAGGGAGCAGGTTCGATCGATGATTTTCTAAACATCCCTTGTCCCATTTTTTTCACTCTTCTTCATCATCGATACCACGAACTTGTTTATTTTCAATTGCCACATTTCTGTTCTTTTACTTACTGGCTTGTTTTTTTCTTCCTCATTCTAGTTTCGCCTCTATTCTACCCTTTCGCATCGATTAAGATTGAGGTTTTGGAGACGGCGGCAGGGGAAGATGAAGCGAGGCACAACATCGACGTCGACAACGGGGTCGGGAGCAGCATCGGGTGCTGCGCGTCCGTTTGTTGCTACCCGAGGCTGAGGAGGAGAATAATGTTATACCACCACCACCCATCACCACGACCATCACACTCGTACGCTAAGGCCGTAGCGTAGTTTTCTTTTTTGGATGTTAAAAAGTTTGTGTTGGGAGGGATTGTGATGTTATAGCTGCCCTTGCTGGCTCTTCCTCCTTGTGTGTGTGTTTTCCTCCCTCTCTCTCTGTGTCTCTTTTTGATTACTTCATCATCATCATCATCATCATCATCGGTTTCATCACTGCGTGGCGTTGGCGAGTTGTGTTTCTTGTTAAGGGCGTTGTTACTCGGACCGGCTGGCGTTTGGATATGTTGTCTCTTTCGTTTGAAGCTATGGCTTACGAAGCTCTGCATAATGATTTTTTGTGTCAGTGATGGTGATGATGCGAAGCGAGCGTCATGAACAGAGAAAGATGTTATGTGGGGTAGACTAGTTTGTAGTTGAACGAGTTGAATGAGTTGAGTTGAGTTGCGTAGGTCAGAATGAGTGAATATATATATGAGTCTTGTACTCTTTGACTTTTTGTCTGTGTGTGCGTGATATTAGACACGTGTATGCTATGGTGATATTCGGGAGGATAAACATTTAAACTGCACGGATATAGAGAACATACAACATTATTCATCTAGGAGGAGACAAGGTCTTTCTCTATCTCCCTATGCGCTTTGTACTATTCATCTTGTTGATAATTCGTATTCCTCATCTATCTATCAACCCCGCAGTCGCCGCTGAATAAGGTCAAACATTAATTACAGCTACCGCATTCATATCCCTACCGTCTGTTTTCCATACCCCACCCCACTAAACCCATACGTCTCTGCCCCTTGAGAAGCTGCTGCCATCTACGCTGTTCCACTCAAAATCCGCATAATCGGCGTAGACGTGTGGTAACTCACGAACGCTTAGACGACAAGTTCGGTTAGATGCGAACGTAGCCTATGTCACATAAGTCCAGGGGGAAATGTATTGTATATTCGGGGGTTATACTGGCGCGGGTAAATTGGTAGGATTAGATTGAGGGTTTAGAGGGGGGAAAGTTGTGGTTTGTACATGAGGTTTGTGAGGACAGTAGGACTGGTATGAAGATGTTGGATGTAGGTTGGGAAGATGAGGGAGATGAGGGAGATGTAGGGATGGGATGGGATTGGTGTGGTGGGAGGATTGGTGTGGTTTGTATGAGGGGTTGCTGTTAGACTATCGTGTAGTTTCGAATACAGATTTTTAGTTCCAGGAGGCGATGGTAGGGAATAAAGCGTAGGTGCATGTGTATTCGCGCTTATTAATTCTTATCCTAGAATTACACATTCTGTTTATTTTCTTCAGAACCAAGTACACACACACATAAACGTAGACACATCAATCAAAGACATAAGGCACGTTTCAAAATAGTTATTAAATCAAGCTTCCTTTTCTCATCATCTCTCTCTCACTCTCTGTCTCTCTTCATAGATACCTCAATCTAGATATCTCAAGAGATGGAAACCCGTTGCGCATAACTAAAGTAGCTAGCCGCCGACTAATCTCGACTATGTAAAAGATCGCAAGATGCAAATGCAGGTAGATGACAAAAAGATGGGGGTAGTATTATACAATGCAGAACCAAAAAAAAAGGCAAGAAAAAAGCAAGACAAAACTCCCAATGCACCCCGTTATCCAGATCGATGCTTCCGTGCTTCATACACAGCGTTGGACTGGACCTGCGTTTGTCCGCCTTCTTCAACCCATGCAAGAAACATGAGAGTGAGAAAGAAAAAAAGATCAATATCATGCATGCATGCACGCGAGATCCACGCAAACCTCACATGGTCTTGCGTGCCCTACCACCCTTCTTCTTCATCTTCTTCGCACTCTCAATCTCGGCACTGCCACTGCCCATCCTCAAACTCCTGGGTGTACTGAACCGGTCACGGATATTATTCTTGATGACTTTCCCCACCTTGTCGCGCTTGAGCTGCCTCTCCTCGTTGGGGTCAACAAAACGGTGCACGGTGCGGTGATCCCGTATCCTCTCCTCCCTATCGTGCTTGCCTTCCTTCTCCGTCTTGGGCCAAGGAAAGCCGTAGAGTTTGGAATGGCGTTCGCAGCGCGGACACTCCTTGCGGGTGTTGTAGCCGTCCTGCTGGATAAAGTCTGCCTCGCACGTGTGGCAATTCACCCACTTGGAGTACTTGGCCGACAGCAGCGCGTTGGACGTCATGTAGTCGCCTGGTTTGCGGGGGTTCTCAGCGTACGAGGATTCGTCGCCTTCGCAGAGGGTGATGGGCGTGCCGACGCGGTTCTGGACTTCGAAGCGGGATTTGGAGCGTGTGGTGCGGAATGTGCATGCGTGGGGCTTGCGCTTGACAATCTGTTCGTTTTCACTGTCAAATTCGAGGCTCGACGAGAGTTCGCTGAGATCAGACATGTATGCGTCGTCGTCTGCAGGCGGGGAGGGCCACGGGGCGTTTACCATTGTCGTTATTGTCGTTACTTCTGTCTTCACTGTTGCCACACCCAGTGCGGGGTGCTCCTCGTGGATGGTCTCAGCGTCGACTTTCTCCTTGGACGCGCTACTCTCCAAGTCTTCCTCGATCGATGTGGCATCGGTTGATTGTGATGATTTGGGCGAGGCCGCGGCTATGGATGACTGCGGTGACACTTCTCGCGATGGCGTGGTTTCATCCACCTTCACCATGAGAAGGCCGTCACGCTGTTGGTTGCGGATTTCGCGCGTCATTTGTGCCAAGTTGATGGAGGGGTCCTCGATGCTGGATACGGGAACTTCTTGTCGTAGTGACGAAGTGCTGTGCGCCTTCTTGAGCGTCGTCTTTCGAAGAAGGTCCGCCTCATTGTCTGGTGACTTTTGCTCGAACCGGGCTCGTTTGCAGGTGGGCGTCGTGTCGCGCGAAGCCTCTCCATCCGACTCGTCTCGCGGCCTCTTCAACGAGACTGATTCGTCTGTCGCGATGAGGTCCTCTGCCTGCTCAAGGCTCGTGACTGCGCCCCCTTCGATTTCCTCGTCCTCGTCCTGTTCGATTCGCCTCTGTGGTGCCCAGCCATTCTGCTGCAGACTTTCGCAGGTGCTGCAAAGACATTCTTCATTGTTGTCGCCAAAGTAATCTTCGCCATACGAAACTGTAATCTCGTCTCCCTCGTAGATAGGCTTCACCGCCACAATCTGCATTCCGTCGTAGCCCTTTGTCGTGAGCTTTGCGTTGGCATCGCAGTCATGATTTGCGAATCGCGCAGGCCCCAGGAAGAGTGAGCGCGTCTTCTTTCTGCTGGAAATGACCAGACTGAAGTCTTTGCGCGCCAGCTCTAGCGACTTCTCTTGCTCTTCTGTCATAGCGACTTGTACTCCAGTCAAGTACTTGATCTCCTCCCTTGGGTTGATGTCTTTTCGCGCGGTGATGGAGGCCTCGTGCTCGGTAATCGTATAGCGGTTCGTCGTCGTTACATCGAATTGACAGTCGGGCATATAGATGTTGATGTATCTTCGGAGGTGGCGCTTGAACTGCTCCTGGTCGTTCTTGTCTTTGAGACCACTTACGAACCTGCGCAGAGCCGTTAACTGCAACAGCTTTTGCACCGCCTCCGCCGGATCTTTCTCCCAGATGACATACTGCCGGATGATATCAGCAACGTCTTCTTCACGCAGACCCCGCGAGCCCGTAAATCGGCCACCCCGGTTTTTGCGGATAGTGAACCAGCCGTAGACTTTGTCAACCACAGCGTCAGTAATGATATCGTCGAACTTGGCGAGTTTGTCGAGCGTGAGCTTCGTCGAGGGCGCCATGGCTGCGCGGTGGTAGGAGGAGTGGGCAAACAAAGACGGGTGCGCGACAAAAAGAGGTTTCGTGTCGTTCGTGTCGTCGTAGGGATGCGTAGTTAAAGGGGAGGTTGGCGCGCTGACGTGATTGAAACGCGAAAGTGAAGGGCAGCGCAGCATTCACTCAATACACAGTACAATACACCAAGAGGGAACAATAAGGAACTCGCGACGCAGATAATAGCAAAGACGCGCACAAGGGAAGGAAGGAGCGACGGGTGCGCACGGAGGCGGCAAACACAACAGCCCTCCGATAGTTTGCGGTTCAGCGGGAAGACAAGACCAAGACCAAGACGACTGACAAGGCTGGGGCTCAAGATACCCCTGTGTATGGAGACCCGTATTGCATGCGTGGAGTCTAGGGATGCCTAAGCGAATGGCTAGGGTACGGCGGCGGCTGACGGCTGACTGCAACTTCGTCTTTCAATCTGTGGGCACATGCAAACAAACGTCGTGCCATCACGCATCACGGGCAGATAGTGCGCAACCAAGCTAGTACGACCAAACAGACGACGGAGAAGAGGCGCACACGATGATTCAGCTAAAGGTGCGCTAGCCGCCAATTGCGAGGGATAGAGTGGTGGCTGACGGAAGGGCTTTTAGACACTGGTGAATTGCATCGACAACTCTGGCGCCGCCATAGTCGAGTGTGTCAACGTGCTGCGATCCAAGCGGCCTGCAAAAGTCGGTATGTGAATAGTTGGAACGGTCATGTGCGTGGTAGAGGTTGACAAAGGCAGGCGACCGCATAGTAGTAGTCGTGAAGAAACAACGAAACTTTGGCCCCGAGACGGGCAACAGCGTGTCCATCAGCGCAGCGAACAAGGTGCGACGAGGCGATGTACGACACGCCGTCGTAGTACGGACAGCAAAGAAGTGGCAACGGCCAGATGGCAGCGTGGTCAAGTTCGACGACAACGCCTGCGTGCTCATCAACAAGGCGGGGGAACCCATCGGCTCAAGAGTTAGTGGCGTCGTTGCTGCCGAACTGAGACAGAAGCAGTGGTCCAAGATCCTATCACTGGCACCCATGCACGTGTAGATACGGACTGGGAAAGAAATGTATTTTTTGGAGTCTATGGAGCACTTGAGCATGTAACAGTATGTGTATATGCAGATATACGGGTATCTGAAGACCTTTTTTTCCGAAACTCCTCGCAATAGATGCCGTGAGATCAAACGCCGCCTGAATGCATGCCCTATCCTATTCATCCTTGATGTCGCTCTTGTTCTCTGGGCGCGAGACGTGGCCGCAACCGGCGCATACAAAGTACAATGCCTGGAGAATATTAGGAGTGCTCGCCTGGAACAATGGCCAACTTACCATGCCGGTTTCGGCGGTACGCTGCTGCGACTGGAAAAAGACAGCCTCATTCTCGCCGCACTCTGTGCACTGCTTTTGAATGCGCGGTAACTAGACGGAGGTACGGTCAGCGAGCACGCTTAACAGCTGGCTAGCACAGTACTGGAGGGGGACGGGATGCCGTCTTCTTTCAGGACATGGGCTCGTCCCACATGTCCTCGTCAAAATCTTCTTCGTCGTAGTCCTCAAACTTCTCCTCCTCTTCTCGCATCTCTTGCTGGGGACGCTCGGCCTGCGGGTCCTCGTCCTCGGCCTCCAGCACGAAGCCGGGGGCGGATTCCTCGCCGCAATCCTCGCATATGATGGGCATGCCGCACATGGTGCAGCAGGGCATCTCCTCGTCCAGGGCAGCTTGGGCGGCTTGGGCTTCAGAGAGGGAGAGACCAACCGTAGGATCCTGGGCAACCTCCGCTGTGACACCAGCTGTAGCTCCGACTGTAGATGCGATTTCGTGGCGCATAACGCAGGACGAGGGCGCCTCTTCGGTGAAGCTGCACGTACGGCAAGCGAAAAGCAACTTGTTCTCCGACTTGTCTTCACGGGGGAATAGCAAGTTGGAGCTGCTTCAGGTTAACACCTTGACGGGCGCGTCGCAAGTTGACTCACCATTCCGAGCAGAAGCGGAAGAGAATGGGCTCTTTGCCGCCCTTTGCACGTGGTGCCTGTGGTAGTGGTGATGACATTTTTGACCTTGTGTCGTAATATGTGTGGGCGCAGTAGGCGGTATTAATTGTTGCTGTGGACAACTAAGCGGCGTGTTGGCAGGAAAGGTAGGTCGAGAAGAAGCATTGCGATTACGAAGATGAAAGCGGTAAAGCGCGGGCCAGGCCCAGCTGATTCGCCACTTCCGTTGCTGTTACCTTTGTTTGGCAGCAACCCCCCGCATTATCGACCCTCAAGCGCCGATCGCCCAGAGAGGTCCACCGCTGCAATTCCAGACGACGTTCCAAGCCGCACCCCCAATTGCCCCTGTTATTAAGAGAAACCATCAAACTTTGCACTGCTCGTCCCCTCCATTCCACTCTTTCATCGCACCTAAACTCAGACATATACATATACAGCAAAAATGGTAAGCATGGCGCGACATCATCTCTGCGCTTCACTCAGCAGCTCACGCTTCACAGTCAGCCGGCGAGACTGGTCTTCCCGAGGGATGGGAGGTGCGCCGCTCCAACACGAAGAACCTACCATACTACTTCCACGCCCAAACCAAAGACTCGCGATGGGAGCCCCCGGCAGGCACCGACCCCGAGCGGTTGAAGACATACATGGCAGCCAACCACAGCTCCAAGGGCGTCGCGCCCGCCGCATTTGCGCCGACCGAGGGCAAGATTCGATGCGCCCATCTCTTGGTCAAGCATCGCGACAGTAGGCGTCCAGCTAGTTGGCGGGAGCCCAAGATTACGCGCTCTATCGAAGAGGCGCGGGAATTGATAAGGAACTATCACGCGCAGATCAAGGCATACGAGGAGGGCGGAGACAATGCAAAGTCGCTGTCTGAACTCGCAACCACCGAGTCTGACTGCAGCAGTGCTCGCAAGGGCGGTGACCTGTGAGTTTTGTAGCGTAGCGAACGGACCGCAGCATTAACGTGGCGCAGGGGTTTCTTTGGCAGGGGTGATATGCAAAAGGAATTTGAGCAGGCTGCTTTTGCTCTCGAGAAGGGTCAGGTTAGCGACATGGTCGAAACTGCCTCAGGGGTGCATTTGATCCAAAGGTGACTTTCCTTTCATATGCCGTTATATAACGCTGACAATAAACGACGCAGGCTGGAATAGGAGACGGGCCGCGCAAACTCTAAAGCCCCGCCAAAGAAGGGCTGAGCATGAGCTTGAGCTTCAGCATAGCAGCGTGCGAGCCGGGGCTGCTGGGACGTGGGCCGGCTGTGACAGAAGGTTCAAAGCCGTGGAGAAAGTGGCTCAAGTTCCAATGACGAATCAGATGGGTAAACCCACTTACGGTGCACGATGCATGTGAGACTTGACATAGGCGCGGTAATGGAACCATGGTGCTCATTCGGCGTGTCGCCTTTTTGTTTTGATTCATTCTTCGTCTCTTCCACTTGAGCGACTGTCCGGGCCATCTGCTGGTACTGCGCGTGCTGACGGCATAGCAGGACCACGCCTCATTGGAGCCATGGAAGGCTTCAAAGAGTGGCGAAAGACTTTGGTTGGACAGTTCAAGCACCCGAGTATACAGCTATAACAGGGCAATGATTGTCTGGATGGCATCGTATGACATGATGAGGACGGAAGACCGTCAACCATGTCGATATACTTTGCTTTGTGGGGCCGGAACCAGTAACTACCAGATGCGATATTTTGTCACCAATGGCGCGGACAAGACAGGCGTCCATGCCTGTAGGGGCGAAAAGCGCCCTGATATAAACTGCCGTCTGCACATTACTCTGGATACGATACCTGTCTCCTGGCTCATCTCGCACGCCTGATCGACAAGCAGCTGACGCGCTTCGCACACTATACGTACAGCCATCCAGCACGCTAGCACCGTAAGTCTGAGCCGGGCCCGGATAGTTGGCAACTCGAAACACGCGTGCTAACAGGATGGTTTGCAGGCTGTCTTTGTCGCCGCTTGCATATTTGTCTGCGACTCGGTGCAGTTTCAGTCTGAAGCTGTTTCGGCCGGCATACCGAGAAGGTCGGTTTGGTGGTGCGCCTTTGTCCCAACCCGGTTCCGGTCCATTCCGAAGGCGGCGCGACTCCAGGAAACCCTCGTCCGTGACGTAGCGCGCGTAGGTAAGTCGGCCAAAGTTTTTTTTTGCTTCTTCACCCGTTGCCAGATCTCATTCCACCTCACCACACCAACACCAATATCTGGTGCATGCTCTAGCCCTAGACACACCCTAGACATTGATGCGTGGCTGGCTGCAGACGGATGCATTTTCGGACCATCTTGCATGGCGATAGCGTGGGCAAAATGCCGTGCAGCTACCTGGGCAGCGATCCCGAGTGTTTGGGCTGTACTAGTACCTTTCTCATTGTCCGCGCACACTGCAACGCTTTCCCTGCATCAAAAGGCTGCCCGTAATTTGCTGTCCAAGGCTCACCAACCACAGCGTGTGTGATTGCCTCGCACTTTCACCGTCACGTCTGCGCAATTTCCTGCTTTCTCTACTTGACGTAGCTACCCCGTCACCGTTCACGCCATACCGCCCTGTCGTCGGTCGCCCTATCCTTGGGAAGCCCATCCGCCTTGTGCCAACGCCGCCCGCTGCCCGCAAAGTACCCGCAGACCCCTGCTGTCTCCACAACCTTGCTGTTTACTCGGCTACCTTGTCCGATCACCCAGCCTGCCTGCGATCCTTTTACCCTTCTTCCACCTCTCCCTCACCACCTCTCCCTCACATTGATTTGTCTAGAAGATTCCGTCATTCTCTACAAATACCACTCACACTCCTTTGAGCCCTTGCACTAAACAGTCAGCCTGCTGCTGCACTAGACTCATAAGCTCAGCCCACCCTCGACTCTCTCTCGAGCAATTGTATTCCTCACACAGACCTACGAGAATACCTACTACCGCCATGGCTACCCCGCAGTCTCCCAAACCCATTTACCACGACCCAATGCACCTTGCCTGCCTACGGAGTTGCAGTCGCAAGAGCGTTGCTTCCTTGTCTCGCTCGGCTTCCCACATCGACTCTCCCCGTACTGCTTGTCCCAAGGATGGCGATGCTTTTAGCTATGACCCTGCCCACCTACGCCATTGGTACTGCCCACAGGAGCTCTGGGTCCGTCTTCCCCAAAATGTCCAGTCGAGCCTGGCCGCTGTCCAGCACTCTGGTGCCGCTGTTTTGACTGGTAAGTGCCGCCATCTCACCACTCATCTAAGCGTCGTCTCTCATTGGCTAGCCACTGAGCCCGTATCTCTGACTGCGCAAATATATTGACTCGACACTAACAATATACAGGCTTCGAGCGTCTCGACAAGCACCTCGAGAGCATTGAGGATTGCCACGTGGATGCCAAGTCTACTGCTGATGATTACTTGGTCCAGCTCGACGAGCTGCCGCCGCCAAAATTCCGCACTGTCAGCAATGCTAGCAGCGTCTTCCACTCGGACTCATCGTCACCCTGCACTAGTGGATCATCAGTCTCTCACTCAGGAAGCAACTCCCCTGTGACTTCAAGCCTACCCATGTCTCAGATCATGTGTCCTGGCTCGCCCATCTGCCTCGGTCCGTCGGAACTCTCCCGCTCCCGTGAGCGCTCTTTCTCGACACCTCTCAAAGCACATGATGCCTACTATGCTGCTGAGCTGTCGCATCTCCGCACCGAGGCCCTTCCCCGTCTACGACACAAGTCCTACAAGGTCGACAGCGAGTGGGCGCAAGCCAAGCACCATCTTTCCGCAGACGACGTCAATGCCTTTGAGAACTTCTGGGCGGAGAAGAAGTGCGCCATCCTAAGCCTTGACGAGCGGGGTAGACGCCTTGCGAGCGCCGTTGGTCTCGCCAACACTGGTCTTGGCTGGTGTGCACCGTAGAGGCTAATGAGGTGGATCTCCAGGGTTTGGTTCTCGAAATGGTTCACGGAGTACTGCTACACCCTCTTGTGAACCTGTTTCCTTTTCCTATCATCTTGGAATCCCTTTCCTGTTTCCTTTTCCACTCATCCTTTGATTTCTCTATTCTGAAATGCGTTCATGAGCGAGGAGTTGGTCGGTATTTACTGCTTGGGAAGCATCTACAACATCGGAGACACGGGATCTACTTTTGGACAGGATGGGTGCCTATGGCTAGATCACATACACATCCGTGTCTCCACAACAATAGTCTCACGAGAGATGCATTGGCGTCAAAGGCGGCTGCCTTGGGCCTGCTTGGGAATTTTCATACTACGATCGGGTCATGGATATGGTCAGTTCAGATAGTAAAATGATAACATCAACCAAATATGCCTGTTCTTCTCCATTATTCCGGACTGTACGCAATTCACGCAATATTTACGCCATCACTATGCTGCACGTCGCCTTCATCATCGCCTACTCCGAGGAATGTTGTTTGCATCGCTTACCTTGTGCTACCCGACATAGACCGTTTTCAGCCACAACTGCATGACGTGTGGCGGCCCAACGCACAGTATCCAACAAGTTCGGCTGTCCTATCACCAAGACAAGCTGACAGCCGCATCAATTTCATTTGCCTGTCAGTATAGTGTCATGGAGCGAATAAACTTGATTAAACGACATCAACGTCACTAGCATATCTGCACCTCCATACTGAATCTAAAAGAAACTCTGGTAATAAAAAAAAGCGCTATTTCCAAAGCTCCCGTGGGCCGAGAACAAGGGAACAAGTTGGTGGTACAATACTGTGGTTGTACTGGAACGCCCAGCCAAGCCTTTAAGCCCGATCCTGCACGTTGCGTTCGGCACTGGCTCCAGCTGCGTCTGCCAACCACCACACACCTGAGCGTCAGCCCCTGTCACCACACCCAACCAGCAAGTTTGTTGGGTCGCTTTCCGCGTCAACCCGATCGACACCTGTTTCAGTTTCAAGTTTCAGGACTGGGACCGCAGCAAACCTGAGGCGTCGTCAGTGTGGCGGTGGCGTGGCGGTGGCATGACGCTGGTGTGAGGGCTTGGCATCGCCATCACCCAGAGGTATTTTGACTGCAAAACGTTTCTTTGTTGCTTGCTTGAAAATGGGGTTGTGACAACTGTGAGGGTGACTATTACCGTGACGGAATATTGACGATTGTGTTACTCCGGATTATGGCCTCGCTAACGAACTGGCTTGACAGATGTCTAGTCTAGACTAGTTTTTGTCGTCGACTTATCCTACTCTAGGATACTGCCAATGGCTGGAGTGGCCGATTCGTTCTTGGCCGGGCTAATAAGCACCGACCTTGAACCCCAGCCACCTGCCTCGTTGCACGTGTCTCCGAGCCGTTCGTTCGCGTTGCCCGTGGCTCTGCGCGACTCAAAAATAGACTAATACTCGTTTTCAGATGTGGGTCAGCACGTTTCGTGCTTCTCAGTATGCCTCGTCGTCATCTGTCTCAACGCGGGGTTGCTTGCCGCCGTCTTGACTGCCCACGGCTTTCCTGTGCGGGCTGGCGCCAAACTTGTGTGATCTTGGTAGCGAGCAAGAGTCGTTGCTATTGTGTCTTCGGTCACGAGGACCGCCTGGGCAAAGAGTCAGCATGTACGATACGAAGGAAAGTCTGATGGGCACCCACCGGGCCGATCGTACGCAGCACCATGTCGCTGGATGCCTGAAGATCGTATTGAAGGACCCGGAGGTCCGAAATCAAACTCGTCGGATTCGGAGTATGATTGTGCTGCCCTGGTTCCTACACCACCACCGCCTATATGACCGCGCATGATGCCTCGTCCTCCTCTTCCGCGGCCTTGAGCCATGGCTTGGGCGGCTTGCACTGCCGCCATTGGATCCATGTCTAGACCTCCGCCAAACTGTCGTTGTGCCCCGCCTTCTCTGGCCCCGCGGTGCGACATAAAGTTTCGGCGCATACCAGCTTTGTGATTCTGCATGCCTGCTGGCATGACATGTGGACTTGGCATTCCCATGCCCAACGGCCCCATTTCAGAGTTATCATCTTCAAATTCTGCCATGCCGCCGCCGCCGCCCATGCCCATGCCCATGCCCATGCCCATGCCCATGCCCATGGTTTGATATTGCATCCCTCGTCTACTGGTGGGGTCTGGCATGCCAGGTGGCATTCGGCCAGGCATATCTACACCCATGCGATAGCCTTCACCACCCATCATGCCCATCTGTTGAGCTATACGTGGATCCATATGATGCGGACCACCCATCGTAAAAGGACTGGGTCCCATTCCGGGGCCTCCGAATGGGTGTGGTGGTTGCGGGGGAGTTGTTGAGGTAGGTTGCTGCTGTTGGTGTGCCTTGTTCATGTCATGGAATCGCGAATCGAGCGCATCTAGCAAATCGTCCTTGAGACCTTGGAACGATTCCTTTCGCTTCTTCTCCTCTTTCTTCTCCTCCTTGCGTTTTTCCTTCTTCGTTTTCTTCTTTTGCTTCTTGCTGTCTTCGCTTCCACTCTCACTCTTCTTACTCTTGTCCTTTTTACATCCAGAGTGATCTCCACAATCACGGCCTAGATCGTCTCGAAGTATATACCGTATCTCCCCACTCCCATACTCATCACCATCATCTTCAGAATCATCATCACTTCCCTTACCCCGATGCGGCCTATCGTGCCGTGCACGGTATAACACACGTTGATTCTTCCGGCAATCACAGCCAGTCGTACATATACATGCATCAAGAAACGGATCTCCGTCAATCCACTCCCTTCCCGAAGGCCCAACCCTCTTCTCTGATAACTGTCCCTTGTTCAAGCGCGCCGATGTCTGCGGTTCTGCACGCGGACGCTGTCGTTTTGCTTTCTCAGTAGATGCATATGCGCCCATGGGTACGTGTTCGTAGCGCCGTCCGGAGCCCCGGCGCGGTGGTGGCTGTGCTGGTGGCGCAGTACTGCTACTTGATGTTGAACTAGGCGCAGGCGGAGGCGCAGGCCCCGGGCCGGGGCCGTGGTTGGGACCGGGGTAGCCCGGAGGGTAGGGGTTGATGTTCGTGTTCATGGCTCCGACGGGTAGGTGTGGCATAGATGGGTGAGTTGTGTAAGCGGGTGGCATACCAAATAGTGGATGTGGCTGCTGCTGCTGCATCATACCAGGTGGTGGCATCATGTTAGACGGTGGCATCATGCCATTACCCATCATACCCGGTCGTCCTCCTGCCCCTCCTCTCATCATCTCAGGCGCTGACCTAGGTCTCCCACTTTCATCAAGCCCACGCTCCATATACCCTCTTCTTCCCATCCCTCCTGCTCCTCCATCCATACCCCCCATCCCGCCCCCAGGACCCCGTCCCATCCCCGGCCCCATCCTCCCACCCCGTGGACTACGACTCGGCATGTCGAGGTCTGCAAGTGTACTCGCGTCACTAGTATGCGTAACCTCGCTTTCTGATCCCACGCCTCCTCCGTCTCTGCCTCTTCTTGCTACTCCGTGGTGGTGCGGGCCGTATGTGTGAGGTTGAAAATGGGGATGGGGATGGGGATGTGGACGCGGTCGGTGGGGGTATGTTGGTGCTGGTGGTGGGAGCTTGCAGGGGAGGAGTTTGGGCTGGACTGTGAATGCTGGGTTGGGGTAAGTAGTGGACTTGATTAAAGGTAAAGACGGGGGTAGGTAAGGGACTTACAAGACGGAATAAACACTTTTCCCTGCAAAGTATCGATTTCGAGGAGGGGTGCTGGTGTGGATGTTGATGCTCCCATTTCTGATGTCTAACTCTGTTCCTCTCCTTGTCGACTTGTTTGCGTTCCCGCCACTCCTGCTCTTACTATCTATCTTCTAGCTTTGAATGCGGGGTTTCCCTCGTACTCTGACTTGATCTTGAACAGACCGAACCCTTTTGTTTGCTCGTTGGGAGTGGTGTGTTACACAAATGTTGTGTTGGCGGTTTGAGTGCGTGCGTGGTGTTTGTGGGCCGTTACACGGCATGAGCAGTTGTACAGGGTTTGTTTGTTTGGACTTTGACGTAGGTCATGTGTGAAATGGATGACTTGGTGGGAGGGGTTGATGATGGGTGGTGGATACGTGGTATGAGAGGAGGAAGATGGGAGGAGTTTTGATGAGGGATGATGGATACATGGTGTAAGGTAAGGGAGATAGGGGTCGTTTGATGAGGCATGATGGATACATGGGTATGAGAGGAGAGTGTTAAGAGGGGGTTTTGATCACGAAGGAAGTCTGAGTGTGTGAGTAGAGATGGTATTGTTACATGTAGGACTATCTGGGTATGTGCAGGGTATCGTATGGGGGTATCATATAAAAAGACCAAACGAGATGAGCGGGGCTCATGTATGAAGCCGTATCCCCACTCAAGAATCCCAGACGCAGGTCAGAATAAGAATGAAAAAGAAAAAAAATCCCACAAACCTCGCAAGGCACCATGGAAAACCGCAAAACTCCCCGCTTTTCACCCAATAATCAATAAGAAAAATATCCTTCACCACCACCACCTCTCACAAGTTCCTCGGTCCAACAACTCCCACCTTCTCAACCAAAATCTCCAATCTATCTCCTCCCCTACCAACAGCATTGAACTGGCTGACCCAGCACTCTGTGGCCTGGCCATCACCCTCCTTGACACTCAGGCCCTGCAACTTCTCCTGCAGCGCCCTCAATCCCCTCTCCTGGAAGTCTTTGGTCAACGGATTCTTGGGCTCCTCTTCATGGCTCAGGCGGATCTGTAGCGCAAGCGCAGCGCGGTTGGCAGATGAGAGCGTTGTATAAACGTCAGGGCAGCCAACATGCGAGTGTGATGCCGTACGTATGAGCGCTTCGTCTGTATCCTCGGGTTTGGCAGCAGCGTCGGCGTCATCGTCGTCGGTATCGTTGTCGCTGCTATCGGCCATCTCGGGGTTGGCGATGATTTTGTACAGGTTCACGGCGTACGCAGTGTTGGAAATGACTTTCGCACCGTCCAGATCGTCGACGGTTCGTCCTGCATACTTGGAGGCCTCGTACCGCTTCACGAAGAAGTGGACATGAGTCTTCTGCGACGGGGAGAAGGGATGCGCATGCGTTAGTGTGTACATTGCACAACCGTTTGCATCGAGCTTGGAGCTCTGCTCTTCGATCGAGGGCCCTGTAGATGCGCGCACAGCGTTGTAAACCTTCTTGGCTTGTGCATTGGCGACGTCGATGTCGGTGTCTGTACGGACGCTGATTTCGGTGGTGGTGGCGGTGCTCTCCTCGTGGGGTGTGGACCAAGTCTTGTGGAAGATGGAGTATTCAAAGTAGGGTTCGGCGGATGGTGTAGGCATAGTGTCTGGAGTAGCAAACCGGACCTGCTTGACAACTTTGCCCTTTGTGTGTGTTGAGGGGAAAGGGCTTGATGGGCTTGCGCTCTTCTCACTTGCGTCACTTGCAGGATTGCTCTGTTGTTGATCGGAGTCGCCACTGGATGTGGCAGGAGAAGGTTGACGCATCGCACTCGGTAAGACGGTAGTTTCACCGGTTTTCAGGCCAGGTCCAGAGGCTGCACTCTTTCCAACAGGCACGGCTGCATTTTCAATCGGTATCATGTTCGGCACCATGGGAGCAACGGCGACTGATTGTAAGTTTCCTTGGATGAGAGGAACTTCAGGTTTTGATGGTGTATCTGTTCCTGCTCTTGAAGGTTCTGCAGAGGACTCTGTCGGCTTCTTGACGGACCCAGCTCTTGAAGGTCCTGCAGAAGACTCTGTCTGTTTCTTGACAGGCGCAGCTCTTGAAGGTCCCGCGAAAGACTCTATTCCAGCTCTTGAAGGTCCCACAAAAGACTCTGTTTGCCTCTTCACAGCTGGAGCGGTGCGATCGCCGATCCCACCACTGATCATGTCCACCTTCCGCTTACCAGCTGCTTTTGCGGACAGCTTTGTCGTTAAAGGCTTCTTGACAGCTGGAGCGGTGTGATCGCCGTTTCCACCACCAATCGTGTCCACCTTCCGCTTACCAGCTGCCTTCGCAGACAACTTCTTCGGTATAGTTTTGGCCGCCGAATCTACCTCGGCCACGGGCACCGGTTGCTGTCTAGGTCCTGGACTGGGCTTGGGCTTCGGAGACTGGGCTTGGGCTACCTTGAGGCTTGTCGGTTCAGGAGCCCGAAAGGTGAACGCTGTTTGTGTAGCTAATTTCGGGCTCGCTGTCGGAGCAATCTGGCCTCTAGCTCGTGGCTGAGCTGTGTTTGCAGGTCTTTGGACCACTGTCGAAGGACTGGGCGGGGTATCTTTTCCTTTGTCGACTGCTTTCTCACGGGAACGGCCTACGGGTTTCTGCTTTGCAGCGCCCAACGTACTGGGAAGAGAGCTTTTAGGCTGAGCAGTTTTGGGTGGGGGAACCTTTGTAGTAGCATGTCGCGAAGCTTTCTGTGCAGCTCTAGAAGCACTCTCGGTAGCCTTGGGTGTCGGAAGTCCCCCAAACACTCGAGTGGAAGCTTCCTGAGAGCTGCTACTTGCCATATTCTGAGAAACCGCGATCGATCCCTGGAATGAATTCGCATCTTTTCTGTTTGCCTGTACTGACACTTGACGTTGGTGCTTGGGTAATAGAGCGGAATGCTGGGTGACGGTAGGAGGAGGAGGTTTTGTCGAAGGCTGCCGCGCCGAATGCTGGGCGACGGTAGGAAGAGGAGGTTTTGTCGAAGGCTGCCGTGCGGATTTCGATGGCACAGTTGACTTGGATCTAGCACATCTAATGCGCTCCAAAGCCGCATTTATGCAGGCTTGGTTAAGTTGCTTAGTCGGGAGAGGTGTGAACTCTGGTAAGAACTTCGGCTCATTCTGCAGCGACACCGGAAGCAGGGAGAAAGGACGTTGGGGGGTGACTAGGCTGTTCTGACCTTGCGTATCGTGATTGACGTGGTCCTCTTCCTCATTCTCACTCTCTTCGTCACTCATGACAAAGCCGGCTATCAGGTTGGGTCGCTTTACTGTACGAGAAGCGTCCAGTGGGGATGCTGCACGCTTTTTGGTCGATGTCCCATTGTCACCTGCCATTTTTCCGTGAGCTTGACGACCAGGTGTTCGCTGAGATTTCTGCTTTAAAGTTGCTGGATGCTTCGAGTGCCCCGAAGAGCTTGCGCGAGCACTTGGTAGTGGTAGTACTGCTGCTAGGTTAGCTTTCTTTGTATTGCCACTAGAGAGGTAAGTGTACTTTGAGACTCACCTGCTACCGTGCTTTGATGGTGAAGTTGGAGATGCTCAGCAAACGCAGCGCGGCTGAAGTGATATCTGGGCTCCAGGCCTTCCTTGCCCCAATCACCATTTAGGTTACTCCACTCATTGTTGGGATTGGGAGGAATTTCCTCGGGTTGCGGGGTACAAAACAACCAAGAAGGCGGTGTGCTGGGCACTGGTGACACACCTATTGAAGCCGAGTCGTGATTCAGGCTCTCGTGGCGTTCCATGATAGACCTGTTTATCGGCTGAGATATGGCACAGGAATCTTCTCCGGAAACGTTGAGATATAGCAATAACTTATAAGTTAGCAACTTGGCCCGCAAATCCCCAGATGCTATGGTCTGTATCGCTTCATTCAATGCGCCAAACGAATATAGGGGACGTGCGTTCTACTACGGCAATCATTCGCAACCTTTGACGGAGTCTTGCGGTGAGAATTGAGGGGTACTTCCAGGCCTTGTTCCGTACATTGCCGATACAAACGAACCTCTGGGTGGCGTATCTTGAACATAGACCATAGTCATGTTGCTTTTGATACGATCCGCGATAGGTATTATGGCATTGGGTACTTGAACCCCCACAGAAGACATTGCTTCAAAGAGCCTTCTCTATGAGTAATTTGTGAATGATCTCTTAGGATTCTGCAATATCAATCCAGCTGCTAACATGCAGAGCTTAACGTGCCTGCCTGAGCGCATGCCGGGGCTATCACCTGGGCACGTTGCCCCACAGCTGCGCATCTCAGTATCATCGATCTTGACACATCATAGCAATCAACCTAGCCAGTTAGACGCATTTGTAGAAGATAATTGGAGTTTCGATCTTTTCGTTCGAGCCGTTACTCGAATTGGGCTTCAGGGTGAACGTCGGTGATGCAAGATCAGCAGCTTAGTCAGCCAACCCAACCCACCTTTCGAATCTCGAACCCCAAATTCATAGCCCACATATGCAAATGTCCGTGCAACTTCGTTCTTGAAGACCCCTAATCATGGCACAAGACATGCGCAATGTCTCCGAGGTACCGGTCTCAGACAAGGTACTACGAGACCTGGCGAAGAACGTGGCGAAAATCTTGCCCGACTTTGCGGGGAAAGAGCCTGCAATTGGCGTGAAGTAAGGACGCAAAGTCCGTGAGCGTTGCTTTGATGGCGTCAAAAACTACTAACGCAAATTTAGGGAACTGCATGATATCTTGAATCCAGTACTGGAAACTGCAGATTTGCCGGAATTGGAAAATAGTCATCGTGCAGCTGCATCCAATGCCCTGTGCGCCATCATCGAGTATTGCGCGGCTTCGGATTCTGACCATGTGCGGGAAGCAATCTTGGACGACTCAATATGGTTCAGGATATTCAACATCTACCTTCAAAGATCTGGCGATGCGAAGGGCAAGTCGATGAGGCAAATGCTTTTTGTCCTCTCAAGTGTCATTACCAAAGACCAGAGTCCACGCGCTGTCAACCTTCGGAGCCGGTCTACAGCCTCATTCTTGGACATCATCTGTGAACGAGAAGATCGAATCAAGGTTAAACCAGCTTTGCAGGGTCTTGCCCACTTCTTGCTCCGTGACGTCGTCTCGATCACACAGTTGGTCAAGCTATTCGATGAACGACGAGAGCAATCATCAGAGGAAGCTAAAGAGCCTGTTACCACGCAAACGGTATTCAAGTCATTTCTGGCCTGGGTCATTCACCATGACACAGCTCTCTCTGCAGGCCACTTGGTCAAAAATTTCCTAGTGCAGGCTCGCAGACTACCGGACTATGGGGTACAAAATTCCACACAGTCAATCTCGCCTTTCTGGATCGAACCAGTAGTAGAAACTCTGCACGACTGGCCGGATCGGATACAGGAGTTCAAAACGCATGTCTTCCCGCACTGTTTCCAACCTGACATCACCGAGTATACCCGTTTTCTCGCATACTTGCGGTTTGGAGTACATGTTCCGCATAACAGTAACCTACCACCTCAGCTTGCTGGAAATGGTGGGCAGAAGACTTCTCTTGATGAGAATGAAGAGTTTAGCATTCTCCTAGCAGCCATAGCGACAGGAAAAGAGCTTACTATTGTCAAAGACCGGGATCATAGAGCAGGAAGAGACATTGAAGTTTCTGATGGAGCACTCTACCTACCAGACGATATCGCAGGAACCTGGATGTCCAATCCAGAACCCGAAGTGCGACTAGCGGGAATGTTTCTTTCGGTGTACTCAACTTCTGTCACGAGAGCCATCAGCGGCGGTGTCTTGCAAGCACTAAAGCGTAACCTTGTTCATCTACATACCGACACTGATGCGAACTTCCGTCGAGAAGTACACGGATACACACAAAAGCTTTTTGATCGTTTGAGGGCAAGTACAGCCACACTTGCAAAGTCAAAAACGAAAACTAGTGCCCCTGGGCAAGTACGACTACCTTTTCCCAGGATGGGCTCTAGCTCAAAGCCAACGGTGATTGGAAGATCGCAAGAGGACCCACTCTGTGAATCCTTGGCATTTTTAGTCTGGTATATACGATTTCTTGAATGGGAGCTACGCCCAACTGCATCTTACCAGAGTCGCATCACAGCACTGAGATCACTCACAATTGTTCTACGGTCAGGCGTCGACGCCGGAGTCCCATTTGCTAGTCTTTCCAAGTCGGCACAAGGACAGCTAAACTGGGCTCATGGAATGCAGATTGGAAGGCCAAAACTTGTACGCTCGCTACTGGATCTTATATCGGACCCTTTCGATGACATTAGAGACGAAGCTGTGTCGGTCCTACAGTTATGCTTGGTAGCACTACCGAAAGATGATAGAGGTAGCGTCATGTCAACTATACCGCGCTTCGTATCCCGAGCTGAGCATACGATGCTCCAAACAGGTCGGGCAGACCAAGCAGACGGAGTTGCTCGTGCCTACGGGATGATATTCAACTTGGCCAGCAATGACGCAGTTGAGGTTGCGAATGGACCATTTTCATCCAAGCTAGGACTATTCGAACACCTAAAAAAGCAGCTCAAAGATACACTGGCTGTCGCTCATAGCGATCTCTCTCAGGCTGTTGACGGCCGGCCTGTACATGGCACCTTTGCTGCGTTACGATACATGGTCGACCAGCCCGACTTCTACGCACTTGTATCAAATGCAACAGGGGATGATCTCGCGAAATGGAAGCAGCTTCATGGTGAAGTAGTGGTCGGTATCGAGAGTCTCTGGTCATGTGTCTACCATGTTCTTTGCGCGGATGCACCGGAAGGCCATGTTCCTGACGAGCTGGAAGACGAGGGCAGTTTGGACACCAAGGAGATCTTGAGCTACTCGTGGAGAGGTCTTAAGGAAGCAAGGTAAGTAAGCCTGGTTGTATGTGGAATTTGGCTAACAACGAAGCGTGTTATTGCGTACCATCATCTCCAAAGCACCCATAGGCGACAAAGAGAGCGATCTTGTGACGCCGCAGCTCTTTCAGAAGTTGGGAAGGCTTTGCTTTACCCAGCTACTGGAACTCCGCCATCGTGGTGCGTTTTCGACAGTATCTCAGACGTTCGCAGTCTTTTGTCGTCGTTGCTCATCGTCAAACCTCGTATCCCTCCGTGCTCTGCCAGAGATGTGGTACCAGGTATGCAAGGAATTGATTTTCGATGGAATCTATACTGACGTGTTCCAGGAAACACTTCGTTCGATCCAGGCCAAGTCAGATGCCATTACCCGAAGATCTGCGGGTATACCAGCAGCCATGTCTGCTCTACTAGCAGCAGAGCCCCAGCCGGGAGGCAAGCTCTTCCCTCGCGCCATGAAGGATCTTATAGCAGAAACACTTGTTGAAGCTCAGAGTGCCAACATTGAAGAGAGCCGTCTACCTCAAGTGCACGCACTCAACTGTATCAAGGAAATATTCACTACATCCAAGCTCAGCGTAGCGTCCGAAGCGTACATTGGTCAGGGTCTTGAGCTTGCAGCCAAAACCTTAAACTCCCACATCTGGCCTCTACGCAACTGCAGTCTGATGCTGTTCAAAGCGCTCATAGAACGACTGCTAGGCAGCGATGAAGCTCAAGACTGGAAAGAGCGTGAGCGAGCAAAGACTTCACGTTTCTCCTACGACAACTACCCGAGCCTCGTCAACATCCTAATCGATCTCCTGGAGCCAAGTAGCGACCGCAAAATCATGAATACGCCCGAGACTGGTAGCTCACCTCTTGATCTTCATGGCGCAGAGGGCGTCTTCCCTGCACTTCAGATTCTACGGCAAGCCCGGCCACCGGGCGATATCAACAAGATCCAGGCCTTGGTTAGGGACTTGCTACCGAGCCCGCACTGGCACATGCGGGATATGGCTGCTAGGACGTATGTATCATTGCGGACGACGACGACGGAGTCTTCTCGTGCGCTGTCTCCTATACTTGACACCATCCCAAGCAATCATAACGGACAGCATGGTAGGCTTCTGGTTGTCAAGTATCTGCTTAGAAAGATTCTTCGGGATCCGGCGCAGTGCTGTAAGTTTTCTTGTCTTCATTCATTGACATAAACGTAGCTAATCGCCTATCAGCCCTGCAAAATATCGTCATGCTCATGCAACAGGTCTGCAGACATGCGCCGAGCTGGTATACGTCCAGCAATTGCGTTTTCGTAAGCGCCGCTTTTCTCGATATCGTGAGCCTGTTAGGTACGACTCTGCTCGCACAGAAAGATGCCACGTCAATCCTCTTTGCATGGGAGGACCTCACGGCGGGTGTATCGATCGGACCGGAACACAACATCGGGCCCAGCGACCACCAAGGCGATTCTCTGCTCCGGACATCTCTAGCACGTGTCTACTTCATCGATCGCGTAATTCTGCGTGAGAAGTCACTCGGCGTAATGGTATCAGACGACTACCAAGACGTTGGCGATGCACTCATGCTCCTCGCAACCGAAGACCCAGATACATGCCTTGACGCATTGGAGACCCTAGACACCATCATTACTTCCAACCCCTCCTCTACTATAACCATCCCCCTCTCCCTAGTCCTCGCCCACATCCACCGTCTCGTCCTCTCCGCTACCGACCCAGAAGTCATCTCGAAAGCGCAATCCGTCCTCGCCTCCGCCCTAACCACAACCCCCCACCTAACCCACTCCTTCTTCGCCACCACAACACCCCAAAACATCTTCACCACGCTCTCAAAACTAGAGTCTCAATGCCTCACCGCTCCACCCTCAAACACGCAATCCGCCCTCCACCTCCTCGGCCCCTTCCTCGACACTGCATACGCCACCACCCCCCCATCTTCTCCCGCTCGCAAAGAAATTCTATCGGCGATAGCCCGATACATCCGCATCATACGCTTCGCAACAACAGACACAAACCCCTTCCCCACGCGCTTCGCAGCCGCACAATCCCTAGCGTCTCTATCCCACATCTTCACGCTTACCCCTCGCTCCCGCTCCACAGCACCCCTACTGCTCGCCCTCGTATTCCTCCTCTACACCCTCCTCCACGACGACGACGATGAAATCAGAGATCTCGCCGCACGCACCACAGGCAGTTTTCTCCGCGCCCAGGGCGTCAGGTTCAAAGACACAGTGCCTGTGCTGTGTGTACACCACCTCGGTGCTTTTCTCTGCCGTACCGCTGCGAATACAGCGACGTCGAAACACGGGTTCACGCAGCCACTGCTGAGGGAAGCAGGGAGACGGTTGAATACGTCCTGGGACAAGGGGTTCAGCGAGGCGTTTGAGGAGGTGAGAAGGGAGGATACGAGTCTTTTTGCGAGGGAGAGGCAGAATTTGTATGTCGATGATGTTGTTGATGGGGTGTTTTTTGCGAGGGTGCTGGGGTGGGTGCTTGCTTCTGGTGCATTGGCATCGGGAGCTGGTGCAGGTGAAGAGGTGGTGAAGGGTCTGAGTACTTGGGTTCGAGATGGATTGGGTGTGCTGGAGATGACGGCTACGGCCCAAGATGACGGCGCGTTGGGGTGGTGTAGCAAGGATGAGGTGTTTGCACTGAGTATGAGAGTTTTCGCTGTGGCGGAAGTTGTGCTGGGGGCGCGTTGTGGGGGCAAGAGTGAGAACGTGGAGCGTGTGGTGCAGTGTCTGATGCGCTTTTGCAAGGTAGCAGAGGAGAAAGAGGTACATGGGTTGTGGATGGAGCGGATCCAGGGGATTTGTGAGAGGTTTGTGTTGAGGAGTCTGGGACGAGTGAGGAAGAGTTTGGTGGTGTGAGTGATGTTTAGACATGTGTACGCGTGGAAGAGGAAGATAGAAGGAAGACGAAACTTGTGATTCAACTCACAAAACCTCTACACACTTACAAAGTAAATACTTCATAAAGCTTGGTAACATCATACGAAAAGTCAGCTTCGCTATACAATAAAGAAAAGTAAACACCATATTTTCGAACAGAACAAAAAAGGCAAAAGCCATAGAAATACACAATACGAAATTCACAACTAGCGTCTATAAAACACATTGACCGGACTCTCCCCCACCCTCACCCTCACACTTCCATACTTTGCCTGCCAAGCAAAAAAGTACATAAGCGCCGCAAGTGGCTGCCCCACAAGACAAAAGCTCATCCAGAAAATCATGTTGCCCGCAACCTTGCCCTGGATCCAACTGACCTTTTGAATGAGATCCGTGAGTGCTATCAACGGAATCTGTATAATCATGCCGGTAAAAGCGACACCAATGATGTTGTGAGTGGGCACGCCGACGAGCAGTTCGTGGAGGATGCCAGAGAAGACGAAGACGAGGATTTGCGCTACGGCAGGGGGAATCCCGCGACCAACGAGGGGGGAGTAGATGTGACGGCGCATGAAGTTTGTTACGGGCTTGTTCCAGGTGGTCCAGTATGTGCGAATGGATGAGACGTTCCACCAGTCGCCGTAGAATTCTCGGTCTCCGAATCGCATCACTTCTGCGAGGGCGTTGAGGGCGGATTGGAAGAGGGCAAAGAAGCCGCAGAGCCAGCAGAAGACGCTAATTGTGGAAAGCTTCATGACGCGCTCGGCAATGGACGTCAGGTTCAAAGTGAGGATTTTGTCGAGGGAATTCTGAAGGAGCGGTGCGGCGTATTGCGCGGAGGCTATCCAAATGACGATGCTGAGGCCGGCGAGCTCGACCAGACGCTTGAAAACAAAGTCCCATCGTATCTTGTCGGTTCGGGGGTATACGGGCTGGTAGACGAGAGTTGGTGCCCACCAGAAGTAGCAGAGGTTCTTCATATTGATATTCTGTGGGTATGGACACGCCTGGTATAGCTCAGGGAGCGGATCGGCCTGCTTGGGGTGCAAGTACGCATGGCGGAGGTCGCGGTTCGTGAGGACGTACGAGGCACACTTGAGAAATACAATGACTGCATGGAGTTCGCATAGGGTACCGATGCCTGGGTGGTGGATGTCATAGTAGACATACTTTGTCGCAATGTAGAGGTTGGCGACGGCGTTGACACTATGGAAGAAGGCGACAATGTACCAGGTCGAGTTGAATTCGCGCAGCGCTGCGGCATATTTGGCGGGCGTGTCTTGGTCCTTTTCGGTGGATATGCGCGAGTAGGCGCGATCAGCCTGCCAGGCAGCAGCGAGCTCGATCAAGTAGGTGACGAAGAGATGGGCGGGAACCAATAGGTAGAGAAGCAGGCCGGTGATGACATCGGACCGGCGATAGTCGTGACAGCTGAGACATATAAGAACGCCATACTTTTGGAGGTTCACAATCATCAATCGCAAGTTGGATACAACTACTCCTGTTAGCCCAATGCGGACGGGACGGTAACGAGGAACGCTTACTGAGCACCAAGATCATGAGATTCCTGAAGCCAACGAAGCTGGGACTCTTGTCGGTGTCATGGCTTAAACACGAGGTGCGCGTCACGGCGTGAGTAGCGTAAACATGGCGGTACTTTGTGTCGCGCGTGCGCTCAGTCTTGCCGTTTGCCTTTTGGTCGTGGCTCGGCCTGTGCCGGAGGACCGAGGCACTGGCAGACGAGGAATCCAGGGCAGAAGATTGGGCCATTTGGGTGAGTGTTGCCATTATTACGCGTGGAGAGGAGTGGGAACGAGGGTCGCTTTCCCCCAGAGCGCAATGGCTCATGCGGAGGTAATTAAGGGTCTCAGGGTGGAAGGCTGGAACGGGGTTGATGCTCGGATGCGGCGATGGCGATGACGACGATGCAATTAGGTCTACTGGACCATTGAGCGCGGTGCTGAGAGAGAGTTTGGACTCGGCGCCGTCCTGCCATGGCCGTGGATGCGCGGCAATGGGTCAGAAATATGAGATATGACGGATTCTGTTGGGAGTCTCGTCGAGCGGGGATCTGCACGGTGATGCACCTCATCCATGTAACTAATCCGTTGAGCCGTGGCGCATACGTGTGGCTTTGCAGTTGGTTCTGTGGCTGAGACGCTAGTGAGAGCTCCCGCTCCGGCGCGACAAAGCACGCGCTTTCACTATCTGTATCGTGAACAACAGCCCCATGACGGTCGCTGTCTCCGGCTCTCACTGCTTCTGAACCTTGGTTGACGTCTTCAAACTCGTCGCTACTCACTCTTCCAGTCATGGAACACAAATATCACCACCCCGAGTTTGAGGGTGGTCTACGGCCTCGACCCAAACGTGAGTGCAATCGCCATGACTTAAAAACAGAAACCCACGCATCTTTTCGATTTGGAATTCACTAGTATATACAATTCCAACCTCGCGACCAACGACTCAGAACTGGTAGCTGACCACTTGAACCCCAGGAGCTGTGACTGACTATGGCTCGACGACGGTACAATGGATGCGCAATCGGCGCCCGCGATACAAGAACCTGCCCATGCCGGAGATGGAGCGACCAAGCGCAAGCTATATTGTCGACATGCAACCCCCAGCAGCGCGGGTCGCGAGTGCTGCAGAGTCGATACCAGCCAAAGCCGTACATTCTTCCCTTAACAAGGTTAAGCACCCCATCAACGTGGTTAAGTGGACACCAGAAGGTCGACGACTACTCACAGGCTCGACGAGTGGCGAGTTTACACTGTGGAATGGTATGGGCTTCAACTTTGAGACAATCATGCAGGCACACGAGGCTGCTATTCGCGCCGTGGAATACACTTCCACCGACGACTGGCTCCTTTCGGCAGACCAGACGGGTGTGGTCAAGTATTGGCAAACCAACTTTAACAACGTCAAGGAAATACAAGCACACACCGAAGCGGTACGGGGACTATCGATAGCACCCACAGACACCAAGTTTGTCACATGCGCCGACGACACCACACTGAAGATCTGGGACTTTGCCTCTAGCACAGAAGAGTTGACGCTGACGGGGCATGGATGGGAGGTCAAGTCAGTCGACTGGCATCCACACAAAGGGCTGCTAGTATCGGGGTCAAAGGATCACCAAGTCAAGTTCTGGGATCCGCGAACAGGGCGCTGTCTTACGACGCTTCATGGACATAAGAATCCAATATCAAAAACCATGTTCGAGCCCGTACAAGGAAACATGCTAGCAACATGCGCCCGTGATCATACCGCCCGAATTTTTGATCTCCGAATGATGCGCGACGTCTTACTGCTCAAGGGCCACGAAAAGGACATCATCACCATGGCCTGGCATCCCATGCACAAAAACTTGCTGTCGACTGGTGGTGTCGATGGAAGTATACATCACTATCTTCTCGACGAGCAGAACCCTCCAGCAGGAGTGGCTCCCTCGATATCGCCTTACGACGCCGCCGACTCGCAAAACGCTCCCTCACAAACCATATATCCCGCACACAGCCTCCAGTACGCCCACGACTTTACCGTTTGGACCATGGACTGGCATCCTCTGGGCCATATCCTCGCATCTGGCAGCAATGACAGGGTCACTCGCTTCTGGACCCGGCCCCGACCCGGCGACACAAACTACGTCAACGACCGGTATCACATTGGCCAAGCCGCCGCCGAAGCACAGGGTACCTTTGACCGTGGCCAGGGCCGGCGGCAAAAGATGGAAGAAGAAGAGCAGGAAGCTGAAGACGAAGCAGAAGGTCTCGTCGACCAGAAGATGCCATCCCGCAACCCCGGTGGCGCTCCTTTTCTCCCGCCAGGTCTTTCACTACCTGGACTCAGCGCAGCACCAGACGGAACATCGAGCTCGCTACCAGGAATCGGGGGCGGTGGTCATCCCCCTATCCCACCCCCACCGGCGGGCATGCCATTCCCCCCTCAACCAGGCCAGCCAGGCGCTCCCATGCCCCCCTTCCCCGGCGGCATGGACCCCTCGCGCCTCCACCAGCTCATCGCCTCAGGCACATTACCACCCCCACCCATCCCCCACCACGGCGGACCACAACAAAACCAAAACGGCCCTCCACCTCCCTTCCCCCCTGCAAACTTCCCTGGCTTCCCACAAGGCATGCCGCCTGGTATGCCACCGCTTCCCCCAGGTATGCCGCCACCACCAGGTTTCCCGGGCTTCCCCCTCCCACCCGGTGGTATGGCTGCCCCGCCACCGGGTTGGCCTGTCTCACAGCCTCCTCTTCCTCCTCCTCCTCAACAGCTACAGCTACCGCAACAGCAACAGCAACAGCCGCAGGGTGGGCCGGTCGGCGGTGATGCATCGGTTCGCAAGAGGGCGCCATTGCCGGATCAGCATGACGCGCTCAAGATGGAAATGTCGCAGGGGAGGTATCGTAAGGCGAGGTAGTCTACAAACGTGCTCTGCGAGGGAAGAAGGGAATGAGTGGATGTGGTACCGGGGTGTTATCTATCAATTATCTATCAATTATCTATCAAGTATGATGGGGTTGACAAGTCTGAGGTGATGGGAGATTGAGGTGTACGTTGGCGTTTTGGGGTAGCGGTGGTGTCACGAACGGTAATCCGTGTGGCATTCGGCAGGGTCTGGTGTGTGGAAAACGCGTCTTCCATACTATTACTCTTCCAACCCTCCATTTCTGTTCTCTTTTCTCTTGGTAATCACAAATACCCAGATTTCTTCTTCTGCTTTTCTTGATGGATTGTCGCGCCCGATGCAAGGTGTGCTGTGGTGTATTTTTGATTATGATACTGGAACCAATTACCACGTTCACTTTGGGTTGAGTGAAAAGAGTCTTGAATAGACATAGCAGCCCAGACAAGATCATCACCACCCCTGCCCTCATACCTCCCTAACTAACCCATCACCACCCAAATCCTTCATACACTCCACCCTTATCAAATTCCCCAGTCCCTCCTCCATAACGCCCTCCCCATACCTCCACAACTCATCCAAAAACGCCGGCACAAACGTCCCGGGTCCCCTAACCTCCTCCCTTGCCGCTGCCCGCTCAGCCGCAATCTCAAAATGCAGCAATCCCGCCACGGCCGCCATTAGCTTATCGCCTGGGTTCGCCGCGAGGTACGCCGACAACGTGGTTCCCAATGTACACCCCGACCCGGTAATGAGACCAAGATACTCGTGGCCGTTTGCAATAGCATACGTACGTGTGCCATCGGATATGATATCCGTGGCGCCTGTCATAAGGATGATGTTGCGTTCGCGGGCGGCGAGGTGGGCGACGAGGGAGGCGCGTTGGGTGAGGTTGAGGAGTGCGGTGCCGGAGTCTACGCCGCGCTGTTGGTCCTGTCCCTCCTCTGACGGAAGGCGGATTTCCAACCCAGAAGTTTTTGCTACGGTTAATATCTCCCTCTCGTTTCCCTTTATTAAATCGAAATACCCGGCGCTCATTAACGTCTTGACTGCGTCTCGGCGGATGGATGTTGCGCCTGCACCTACGGGATCGAAGACGATGGGTCCGCCGGCTGCGTTGTATGCCGCTACGGCTTGTGCGTAGTTGAGCAGGCCGTCGGGGGTAACGGTACCCATGTTCACAACCAGCCCGCCCTGTAGGCGCGCAAGGTCCGGGGCTTCGAGACCGTAGTTTGCCATGATGGGCGATGCTCCGATGGCGAGGGCAACGTTTGCGGCAAAGTTCTGGACTACGAGGTTGGTCATGTTGTGGGATAAGGGGGTCTTCGATTTCACAGCTTTTTTACACTGCAGGGCCTTGTGAAAGATAGAGGAGAGCTCATCTTCAGGGTTTTCGTGCCAGAAATGGGGAGCCGTGGAGTGCAGGGTGAATGGGGGTGGGCTGTGGAGGAGCTGGGAAAGGTGTTGGGATGCTGATTTGGGGGAAGGGGACCCGATTATGGCAGATACTACGGCGACGCCATCAATTGTCTTGGGGTTGCGGTTGAGGGGGGTTGGGGCGAGGAGTTGGTGGGTGATGCGTTGGACGTTGGAGGCGTTGACGCCGCCTATGCATACTGTTCCGACGTTCTTTTCTGCTTTGGTGCCGTTATCGAGGTATCTAAGGATTTTACGGATGCCAGTGATGCCGATAATGTCCTTGGTGTTCTTTTTGGTGTTTGTGGCGTAGAGAGTACCAATGCCTAGGTAGTCTGCTCCTCGCTCAACCTATGGTGATTATCAGCTCATGTTCATGTCGAGAGTAGGAATGACTCACTGCTATCCGTGCTTCTTCGATAGAGGATACAGTTGCGCCGATGATCTTGCTGTCACCTAGTATGCGCCGGGCTTCGACTACGTTCATGTCATCTTGACCAAGGTGTACACCTTCGCATCCTACGGCAAGGGCAACATCCATGCGGTCGTTGATGACAAGGGGGATGCCGTGTGCTTTGCATTTTTCATGTAATTTCTTTGCTATTGAGATGAGAACGCCAGTGTCTGAAGTCTTATCCCTGTATTGGACGATGGTGACACCTAGGAATGTCAGTCCAGTCACATGTAGTTATGCCTGCAACATTGTTCTGCCAAAAGCATAATCATCCTAGTAATTGGGACAAACCAACCTCCAGACAAAGCTTGCTCTACCACATCGACCAGGTCTCTAGAACCAAGGATGGCTTTTGTAGAGTCGGTCACGAGGTAGAGCGAATAGTCTACTTTTTGCTTTTCCATGTTTGCGGTCCTGGCGCTTGGACGGAAATGGGCGTGACTTTCGCGAGCTCGTCCCTAAGTTTGCAATGTGGGCGTCCCAGAGAACCGTGGAGCGGCGGAAGATGACGCAATCCATGTGCGGCTCGCGATTGATTTTCATTGGTTCCGCAGGACAATGCTCCAAACTAGCTGTCGGATGTGCGTCTCAACGGCGCTTTTGTGGCGCTTCTGTACAAGCAACGGCGCACGTCAGATCTTTTGCAGAAAGACTGCAGTAGTTTTGTGTCTGATGTGTAGGACAAAAAGCTGTTTGGAGACTTCAGTAAGCCATGTAGATGGCTATACCATGAATTCGATGGTTCGAATACCATGACATGGCGTGTAGGTGATGGATGATTGCTGGCCAGTGCTTCCCCCACGTCGGGAAAGAAGCACCGCAGGTAGGCAAACCGCTAGCAGCTAACACTGAAATGAGACGGGTGAAAGGCATGCTCGTTGTCAGGAGCCAAACTGCAGGAACCCGAGTACGCACTACGGACATTCATGCTTGTCCGATGTAGTAAGCCGAGCGGCGCCTGAGACAAACACGTGACGTGGTGAGCAGGATGTTCCGTATACAGTATTGTGGAAGCGGCACTGTTTGTTGGAGCATACAGAGACCCCCAGGCCGCTTGCTTCATGTGCCTGACGTGGAGGCTAACAGCGACAATGGCCAAACGACCGTCCTTGCCATGGGTGATGGTAGACCGGGTGGGGCTGCAGGTGTTTGGTGCAGGTCGCTAGTGTGGCTCGGCAGACCGAAAAACTAAATCGGCCGACCCCATATAACGTCCTCCCTCCACCTCAGTCCCGCACACAACCTTCTGCAACACCCAAAATCCAGACACCCCGCCTAGCCCAGTGACTTGGCAACAACTGCACATTTGAACTCATCCGCCAAACATCCTGAGTCGCCCGCCCGCGACCTGCACAAACCGCCACCTTCGCCTCAAGGCCACAAGTACAAACCGCCCCTCAGAGTCGCCGAAGCCAACAGGAGTATATGTATTCGCGCCAACGCTACGCCTTCCGAGTCGAACCTCCCCCCAAACTGCAAAAATTTCGCTGTATGCGGATACCGAGCAGTACCATACACCAGACCAACGGCTAATCCAGTGCCCCTCTTGACCCCGAGTCACACACAACCCACAACCAAACACCAGAGACGGCATCTGCGCATGTCTCTATCGGCCCTCGTCAACCTACCTGACCCGACCGCGTCCCTCTGTCCGCTGCAACTCAAGTAAACTCTTCAACCACCAGCCCCCCGCACCACCGTCACCATGGCTACCGTCAACATCCGCCGCGATGTCACCGACCCCTTCTACCGCTACAAGATGGAGCGTATCCAGTCCAAGATTGAAGGCAAAGGTAACGGCATCAAGACCGTCATCGTCAACCTGAGCAGCGTGGCTCAATCTCTCGCCCGCCCGCCCGCTCACGTCATCAAGTACTTTGGCTTCGAGCTTGGAGCCCAGACCAACACTAGCCCCAACGACGACCGTTGGATCATCAACGGCACCCACGACGCCAGCAAGCTGCAAGACTATCTCGACGGCTTCATTTCCAAGTTTGTCCTCTGCAAGAAGTGCAAGAACCCAGAGACCGATGTCCACATCAAGGACGCAAACATCACGCTTGACTGCAAGGCCTGCGGAAAGATCTCCGACGTCGACCCTCGCTTGAAGCTTAGCTCTTTCATCCTCAAGAACGAGCCCAAGAAGGGCAAGAAGGACAAGTCCAGCAAGAAGGCCGAGCGTCGTGCCCGCAAGGAGGCCGAGGCTCGTGGCGAGGCTACCTCCCCCGACGGTGGCAGCCCTGGCGACAGCGCTGAGGAAAACGGTGACGATGGCGACCTCGCCCTTGAGGCTGGTAGCGACGACGAGCTTACTCGCCAGATCAACGAGGGCGCCAAGGAGATTGAGGACGAGGACGCCAAGGAGGTGGAATGGTCCATCGATACCTCAGAGGCCGCCATCAGGGCCCGTGCCCAGGACCTCCCTGACGACCTCAAGCGTGCCCTTGTCATCGAAGACGAGGATGAGGGTGGTTCCAGCTACGATACCTTTGGCAAGTGGATCATCGACACTGGTGCTGAGAAGGGTGGTGTTGAGAACCTCGACAACGTCGACATCTACGTCAAGGCCAAGGAGCTCGGCATCGAGACCAAGCACCGCACCCTTACTGTCATCCCCCAGACGCTCTTCACTGAGAAGATTGTCAAGCAGATTGAGGGTCGCGCCCCTATGCTTAAGAAGATGATTACTTCGGACAAGCACGAGAAGGCCTTCCTCGGTGGCATTGAGCGTTTCGTCGGCAACGATAAGCCTGAGCTCATCCCCCAAGTCTCGGCCATCTTGCTCAAGATCTACGAGAACGACCTTGTCTCGGAGGAGCAGCTCAAGGCATGGTGCTCCAAGGCCAGCAAGAGGTACGTTGACCTCAAGGTCAGCAAGACTGTCCGCAAGTCTGCCGAGCAGTTCAAGACTTGGCTCGAGACTGCCGACAGTGATGAGGAGGACGACTCTGACTAGGTCACACCATAGTACGACGTTACTGTGGTGATATGCGAATGGTAAAAGTACGCTGATCGACCAACTGTTGACTGTCCTTACAACTGCGTTGCTTTCTTGCTTCCTGTTCTTCGCATGCATTCTTCTCTCCGCTCTACCTAGCCAATAGAAAATTTGCGTATTACACCGTCCCTCATCCCATCATGTGACTGTAGCCAGGTGATGATTGCACTGGTACAGCTGTATAGCTGGTTCATTGAAGTCTCCAAACAGTGTTTTGTGCCGCTCCTCATGGACCAAAAGGGCTCGTGTATGATTCTGATGAGAGAGCATTGAGACACGTACTTTGCATATCTGCCCCACTACCCATGGGTTCGCCGCTGTCAGAACGAACTCCTTACCAGGTGTTCGGGCCCACCATGCTGCACTTTGCAAAGTTTCTGCACGACCGTGGCGAGAGATAATATCTGCCGAACGATACAAAAGCAGCTAGGAAGACTAAGCTAGCAGTAAGCCGCATATATCACGAAGACGCTAGTCTATGCTTGGTCAACCTTAATGTATAATGTGAATAGTATGGAAGTGGAAACATGGGCTAGATGCCATACGAATCGCCCAACATGTTATAAACCAACAACCCCCCAAAAAAGACAAACTACCCCACTTCACATCTTCATCTCCCCCTTGACTACCCTCTCATACTCCTCCTCCTCTACCGCCTTGACAAACACCAAAACTCCCTTGCCAGCATTCCACTCCGCATTCTCAAGCACTTGTGTCAAACTATGGTTCCAGAAGCCTTTTTCTCGGTATTCACTTTGGGGTTTCGCCCATTTCCAGAGTAGTTTACGGTCTTGGGGGGTTAGATTGTCGGTTTCGCTCTTGTCGCCGAGGACGGTGATGGTTAGGATGTTTACTTTGACAGTATCGTCAGAACCAGAACCGGCGTTTAGGCTGTGTAAATGCGCGACGAGCTTCGATACCATCTGTGCATCGTGCGATGACGTTTGCAGAGATTCAAGTTGACAGTGGAGGAAGTTTGCCAGACAGATACTTTCGCTAGCTTGGATGTGTACGAGGCCGAAGTCGTAGGAAGCGATTAATTGCACTTGGGCGACTGTTAGTGGCGTTTGCAGTTGCATGTGCGAGCGTGAGGGGCTGGACGGTGGACCCCAGTAGCTGATGATTGTTGGGGAGTTTGGTGGTGGTGTGGAGATGGCTATGAGGAGGGTGTATGGGCGACGGGTTTGTAGATCTGGGGTTAGGTTTAGATTTAGATGCTGTAAGGGGGGTTAGTGTGGCTTTTCTGGTGTGTATGTCTGGATGCGGTGGTGTGCGTACGTGCGTTGCTGAACCAGTTGGTAGTATTGATTGCATGGTTGGGTTGTTTCTTTGATACTGTAAGGTGGAGTTGGGGTTTGTAGACGGACTGTATAGATGGATTCTATGGCTTTGTTTTTGTTGACAGGGACGAACGGAGATTATCTTCCTTCGCGTATGTGTAGATGGAGTCGTTGTTGGTCGGTAGGATTGCCAAGGGGGGTATGAGGTAGGCCAAGTATACGTGGTTAGCCGTAGCCGGTGAGGCACAGTGACTGTATCATCGATCTATGATGGACGGCCTCAATATGTAAAAGGATTATCTCTTCTCATAGCTCATACGCCAGTCTGTGTTTTTTATGCTTTAAACTATTATTCGGGGGATTCAACCTAGACACACTCTTTCCCAAAAAAAGACCCTCATTACTTTAAAATCTTTCGCACGTATTTCAACAGACGTATATGACATGTGTCGTTGGAGGTGAGAAGTGTAACTACATAGACATTGCGAGTTGCATGCCCCATGTCATTGACCGAATCCGATACCTAGGCGAGAAATATGTGTAACGACGATGAACAACGTCCAACCTACTCTTATCAACTGATACACACCTCAATACCATAATCACAAGCTCAATGGCTCGCTCGCACAACAACGTGTTAACACGGTCAGCCGTCTTACACATTTCCATCCACAAAAGCGCCACAGAAAAAGGAATTTTCGGGCCTCGCCTAGACTAGCACCACGCGCACGAGGCACGTTCTCGTCGTCCGATCTCCACAAGACCCATGGCTTAGTCTCCGAAGCTTTACCCCACCGAGACAAGACCAAGCGGCGCGCCCATGCTCTGGACAGCGGGCCGAGCACACTTTTTTTCACCATGGCGCAAGGTCGTGGGTGGTGGAGCAGCGCGTCTTGTGAGCGCGGCAGTGATGGGTGGTGGGCTCCAGGGCTTCAGCTTATAACGCCGTGGTATCCCCCCGCGGTTTCCCTTGGTCTCAGCTACCAACTATCATTCCGGCAACACTTGCCAATATCCTTTCCACCGTGAGCGACTTTGGAGTTTTGCGCTCACGTTGGTTGCGAAAAGCTCCATCTTTGGTTCTCTGCGATAAGCTTGTTCGCGGCTTTTTCGGACTTGTTCAACGTCGATCTCGGTGTGATCAGCCTTGGGAAGCGAACCTGGCACTACCAACATGAACCCTATCCAAGCTTACCCCGCTGAGGGCGTCGTCGTCCCAGATGCGCATCATCACGGACACTATGGAACCGAGGTCACCGACAACAAAGCTGGCACAGGCACATATGTGACATCTGAAAATGAGTCTCATAATGGAGGCATCGCAACCGAGAATGAGGTTCTGGAGCGAGATGCGCAGACAAAAGGACAGTGGTTCCAGTATCTCAAGACGAAGCAGTTTTGGATTACACTTCTTTTGGGACAGGGTATGTAACTCCCCGCCGTAATGGGTAGTTTGGGAAGTAAAGAGTAATTGCTAATATGAACGTATAGTTCTGGCCGTCTGCATCACAGGCACGAATACGCTATCTTCGCTCCTTTCAAACGAGGGAACATCGATTCCTGCCTTCCAATCCTTCTTCAACTACGTCTTGCTCAACATAATTTACACGTCGTATACGCTGTATAAATACGGATTCAAGAAATGGACACGGCTTATCCTGAAAGACGGATGGCGGTACTTTATCCTTGCGTTCATGGACGTCGAGGGAAACTACTTCATTGTACTCGCATACCGCTACGTAAGTCCAACTCTTACCAACTAAATCTTTGCTAACACAATACTCCAGACGACCATCCTATCCGCCCAACTCATCAACTTCTGGGCCATCGCCGTCGTAGTAATAATATCCTTCCTCTTCCTCCGCGTCCGCTACCACTACACACAAATTCTCGGCATCCTCCTCTGCATCGGCGGCCTTGGCGTAATCTTCGGCTCAGACCACATCACGGGCGCAAACAACTTTGGCGCCTCCAGCCCCGTCAAGGGCGACCTCTTCGCCCTGCTCGGTGCCACCTTCTACGGCCTTAGCAATGTGTTTGAGGAGTGGCTGGTTTCTGAACGCCCGCTGTATGAGGTCGTGGGCCAGTTGGCCTTTTGGGGCATGTTTATTAATGGGACACAAGCAGGCATTTTCGATCGTGCGGCGTTTAGGTCGGCGCATTGGAATGCCAAAGTGGGTGGGTATTTGACGGGGTATACGTTTATTCTGTCGCTTTTTTACTCCCTGGCACCTGTCTTGTTTCGCCTTAGTTCCGCGGCGTTTTTCAATATTTCGCTCTTGACTGGCAGTTTCTGGGGCGTGGCTATTGGCGTGAAAGTGTTTGGGCTGAGCATCCATTGGATGTATCCCATTGCTTTTGTGTTGATCATCGTGGGTCAAGTTATTTACTTTTTGAGACAGAGTATGGTGGGGGAGGCGCTGAAGCCTTGGTTGGGGAGGGGCCAGGAGAAGGGGCATGCGGGTGTGGGCACGGCGAAGAGGAGGGTTGAGAGACCTGAGGCGATTGTTTAGTGTCCCGTGTATCATGATGGAGGGTGTATGAGGGAACCTATGAGAGAGCTGGTTTGGACGATACCATTATTCATGAATCAAATATTACTATCAAAGCATCTACGAAATTTATCCTATAACCCGCCTCCATACAATTTGTATCCATAGTTTCTCACATTGCCACACTAATATGCTTGTATTCACGGCGTCCCTGTACCAAGATAGTAATCCCATTTCTGCGTTGTAAAGTTTCCCTGAGACTCAACCCTTTCCGGCATCGTAACCACAGTACCGTTGCCAACCTTCCCACCATACTTTCTCGAAACTCGTGGACAGGTAAGGAAGAGTTTGAAAGTACATTTTCGTTCCTCATCTTCATATGCAAGTTTCGCCAGTGCCTTAACCACATCTCCTACTCTTCTCTTGTAGCGCTCACTCTCTTCGTATTCGGTGATGGCGTCGATAGTGCACATGAGCACTATTTCCGCGGATAAGCTGTCGACGAGTAGCTTGAATGCGTCGCAGAGCGATTCCGTATACTCAAAGTCTTCTTCGTCTAGTGCGCCTATGACTTGGGTGTCAAAGTCGTAGCTGACTAGTAGCTGGGCGATCAAGCTTTTCATGATGCCTCGAGGGCCTTTATATTCGTCGTCGCGGTGGAGATGCTGGGCACAGAAGAATGAAATGGTGATGGTGCGGAGAGGAGGGTGTCGTGATGATGGCTCTTTTTCAGCTTCTATTTTCCACGGCATAGCTGCTAGCTTGGCGCATACAAATGATGTAGGACACTGGCGCATAGATCCATGGGCGATGTAGTGACCATTCAGAAAAAACACTGATGATCCCGTGTCAGTCAACCAAGACTTGAACTTGTGGTGTCGGACAATGGCGAGGATGCGATCTTGGGCTGGTTTGGGTAACCGCCACACGTTGGGTGTGCTGTTTTGTAGGTCCGACTCTGTCATAGCGGCGTCGTAATCCAACTTATCTAGCAGCGCTTGCTGCAAGTTGTTACGATGTTTTCTCAACTCACGCGCCGACCGAGATTTCTTGATCGGCGATAGTGGCAACTGGAGATCTTGAGCTGTGACGTTGCCGCTGGCTAAAGAGTGGCCTAATGACTGGATCGCTTGGGCCATATAACTCTGAAGTCTATACTCCATTTTTTGGCTCTGTGCGTACGATTCTTCGCGCGCGAGGTTTATGTGTTGATGAACCTCGGTCTTTATGCGATCCATGTCGACGCGGACTTCATGCATTTCTGATCGTATGTAGTGGATTTCTTCGAGGCCGCAGGTACGAGCAACACGGTCGAATTGGGAAGATCGAGTTCCGAGCGTGTCGATTGCCTCAGTTAAACGTTGTTCGTAGTCACTTTGCTGGACTAGAGCTTTTATAGCTTTCTCTGAGTCATGAGTGTGACTAACCGTCCTCAATGGTGTGGTGAAACGTGGCATTGTGACTTACTTAAAGACTTTTCTTTGAAGTATACGAGTATGTGCTGCAGAACTGATATAATGGCAACGAACAAATAAGCGCTGGCTTGGCGCAGCTCTTTCGACTTGTTGAAGATGTTCTGTGCTCGATGTGTGCAGGATAGTATATGCGGTATTTCAATCAGGGCTTTTGCGATGTCATCTCGCACGCGGTTCAATCGCGAAGCGGCCTAACGATCTTGTTAGCTGGGCGAATGATGTGAGTCATGATATATACTCACACCTATGATGAGTTTGAGACCACCGCATAAGATAGAGAAGTACTCTGACTGATTTGGTAGCAAAGCCAGCCACGCTGACGCTATGTCAGCCTTGTCTGCAGACTTCCTGAAAGCCTTTCTGATCTTTCCCCAGATGCCATCTGGCTCATTATATCGATCGGATGCGCCCTCAACTTCTTTCAGTACCTCTTCCCAAGTATGTAAGTTCTTGCTGAGCACTGAATCTCTCTTTTTCCTCTTGCCATCTACACTGATAACTTTCTCGTACTCTTCCATCGCTTGCGTCAAGCGCAGTGATTCTTCGCCAACATCCCGATAGAAATCTTCACTGTTTTTGTTAGTTAAGTGGCACTTAAACACGTCTGTAGGCCAAGGATGGCCACAGAGCAACTCACAGGGAAGGTTCATCATCTTCCGGGTCGTCATCCGTCACATCGCAAAGAGTTCCAGAGCTCACAAAAGGCGTTGGCCTCTCCACAGAAATGACTGGTATCGATCTACCGCCGGGTTCCCGTGCTTCTTGCTGGATAGAATCATGTGATGGGTGTGTTGTCGTATCGAGGTGATTGGGAACGTATGCTTCCACTACCGCTCTCAAAGGCTCGGGCTGAGTGGGCTTCTCAACTGCGCCCAGTGCTGTACTTGTATCGGGTGCAGACATTTCGTTTCCAGTAAACTTCGCAAATGGTTATTTACGCCCCTGGTGGTGATGAGCAGGATATGAGTTCACAGACGCAGAAAAGGCAATTAGATACAATGGATATGGGAAGAAGAACAACGGCCGCAGCACAATATTATGCGCGGTGCTGTTGCATCCCGTCATTGCCTCCACGAGCTTCTATGTAGCACCAGAGGGCTGTGGGTTACGAACCCTGTAGGTGGGTATTTTGGCCCCCATGTTACCTGCTCTGCCACCGGACGAAGGATTGGGGGCGGGGTCTAGCTGAGACTGCAGGCTGCATGCTGATACCGGCATCAAAAGCTTTGGGTGCTGTAGGTAGGCTGAAGGTGGTCCTTCGGCTATCTACCTAGGTAGTAGTTAGCGATCAACTTAGGATAACGCCCGGGCGCACCACCCTACCTATGACGACTAATCTAAGCAACTTGGTACCTTCGGTCTCTATGGTCGAATTCCGCCATCACAAAACGACATAAAAGACTGCAGTGAGCGATGCCACGTCTTTGACCGGAAAAAATGTTTTGTAGAACGATCGAAGTAGTGGGGTAATCCGATCCTGGTCATTGCCCAACATGCATGGTGCCACGCCACATTCCGACAGCTTTGGCGCCTAGAAGACACCAATCACACAAGGATACGAATTCTTCGCAGGAGTGGAGTCTTGGCCGTACTGGCTGTGTACTCACATAGCCTCCATCAATATGCCCCAGTTTAGATTGTTCGACCTATCAGAGCATACAACTGTTCGCGTCGATCAGCATGGCTAGGTATCATATGCGCGATCCGATCCACCATTATTCGTACTACTGCACATAGGTGTGATCTTTTAGCACCCAAACCGTGATGCCTACTTGTATTTGGACAGTGAGATGATTCTATAATCTATCCACTTCTCACAGCCATTCTCAGCACACTTTTCCGCAGCTCAAGTTCGAGACGGAGACCCTCAATGAACTTCAAAAGCGTACTACAATAAAGAGTTCTGATGAGGAACAATCTGCTCGCTCGGTTGACTCGGGATACGAAATAGTCAAGATGGGAACGCCAGCAGAAACTTCTGTTAAGTCGACGCCAAGCCTCGGTGGCCTTAAAGTTGAGCAGCATAACAGCTCTCACAGGGAGCCAAATCATGAAGATGATAGTCGAAAGAGTGCCGGATACATGGATGAGCTCGTGAAACGTCTAGTTCAAATAGAGGAGGAGCTCAATACACTCAAAACCAAACGGTGCGTTATTAGTCATAGTACACAGCACAAGCTTACTTATGATCAAGTTCAATACCGTCACATTTAGGTCCGCCTGCTGCTCCTCTAGCTTTGTCTGCTTCTACACTCCCCGTGCCGAAACGAGCGAAAGCCGAAATACCTAAAGTATGCCGCATACTCTACAAACAAATTTGCAATGTCAAACGCAACGTCGATGATGAAGTCGAAAATTCTGCAATCATTGTTTTGTACAGCGAAAAAGAGGTGCTTGACTGTGCTGGTATCGACAACAAATCAGCTGCCTATGCGCACCCCTGGCAGTACGCTTCTCCAACCCGTATCATCATCAACTCTGAAAAACTGGCCGCAATTCTCAGTAGTGAAGCTCAGTGGCGCTTGAATCCCACATACACTACTTTTAGACGGCCGTATAAAGGCCTTATCACCTATGAAGCAGCGATACGGGACGCTTATTGGAGATACACGGAACAACATGAACACCAGGTCATTTGGACTGAGCAAGACAGCATCATCGTTCGTTCAGAGCACACTGACGTGGACGTCAGAGATATAACAGGCACTCGCCGTGGTCTCTACACCGATGACGGGCAAGACGACGACAGCAAGGAAGACACCGAAGCGAGGTTCGAGAAAGAATTCCAGCAACATCTTGTTCATAGAGCTCTTCTGAGATGTCTCGTTGAAGTTCTGGACCAAGACATGCAAAGCATTTTTCATCTGCGCCAGAAAATTAAAGAGGGATCGTTGCCGGAGAGGGGAATCGCATATGAAGATCTGTGGCATCTTTACAAACCGGGTGACATTGTTGTATCCAATCCCAAGATAAACAAAACAAAGCAAAGAGTATATCGTGTACTCCATGTTACAGGGGGACGACCACTAGGCGAAGTGCATGTGGAGCGTGAAGGTGACCCAAGTTCGCTTCGTCCTTACCGGTCGTCTGTTTGGGAACCAGGCCTCAACGTCGTTTCCCCGGCAGTCTCGCCACTCATCCTCGACTGCTTCTACATCGATTACGACGGGATCAACTACGGAGCTCGCGATCAAGCCTGGATTGCATATGACTATACTGGTTCCAAACAAGTGGATTCGTTGGAGTTGATCCCGTTATCGCTCATGCCGGATCACTCGAGCCTCTTGGATTCCTTGACTGACCAAGGAAAAAGGCTGGTCAGTTTACAGGCCAGTACATCCAAAATCTACAGAGGATTTACTATACGGGAAACAACGGCGGGAATTGGCAATGATCGCTCTTCCTTGATTGAGTTGACCCCTCTGAAAGAGGTAAGAGAAAGCCGGGTCACTATCACTAAGACGCCACTAACAGTATCTAGGTAGATAGTGAGATCATCCTCGACCACAAGGCCGGAATCGAGAGCTTGAGGAAGACATATGACTATGAGGCATCTTTTGGACGAGGCGTTATCGAGAGACCTACAGATTGGGAATTTGCAGAGTTGTTCACTGATTGCAAGGATCCGGATTGCTACAGATGTAATGGCATAAGCAGGGACGCAGATTTTGATATCAACGCAAGATCCGCCTTTGTTCGTTCGACCAAACTTCTGGGATTCACTGCCAAGGAAGAGTTGAGCACTGACCATTATGCTCTGATGACACCTAGAATATACGGATATGCTTTACAGGAGCGAAGGTGGCACGCCTTCCACGTGGCCCGAATCAGGGACCATGATCATAGCTTACGTACGCTCCAAAACACCACAACGGCATTCAACGACCTCGTCTTACCGAAAACACACAAAACACTTTTGCAGGCTCTTGTAAGCAATCAGACGAAGCAACTCCGGTCACAATCATCAACCTCCCCAAGCCAGCAGCCAAGCACGTCGAAAGTAGGTAATGACATTTCCATAGACCTCGTGCGTGACAAAGGAAAAGGGGTGATTATACTGCTGCACGGAGTACCTGGAGTGGGTAAGACATCTACAGCAGAGTGTGTTGCTGTCCAGCTTGGAAGACCCCTATTCCCAATCACGTGTGGTGATCTGGGCTTGGAGCCGGGTGTAGTCGAGAAGCGTCTAGAGGAATATTTCAGTCTCGCATCGAAGTGGGGTTGCATGCTGCTCTTGGATGAGGCTGATGTCTTCCTGGCAAAACGCTCTCATGATCAACTAAAGCGCAACTCGCTTGTGTCTGGTAAGGCGAAATATCACTCTCTGTGTTTGTTGTAGCCAGTCAGCTAATCATGTCGGAAGTTTTCCTAAGAGTACTGGAGTACTACGATGGCGTGCTCGTACTAACGACGAACCGTGTCGGATCCTTCGATGAAGCGTTTCGGTCTCGCATTCACATAAGCCTCTACTACCCGCCTCTGGATGAGGAGTCCACTAGTCAGATTTGGAAGATGAACCTTCGGCGACTCCAGGAAGCACAGGATGTTGACGTCGACATTGATGAAGCCGGGATCAAGAAATTCTACCGTAAACACTGGCAGGTCAACGAGAAGAAAAAGTCTCGACGTTGGAATGGACGGCAGATCAAGAACGCCTTCCAGACCGCGCTAGCTTTGGCAAACTGGGAGTTCCGCAACAGCAAGCCAGGCACTATGGAGCGGCCAAAACTCAATGCTACACATTTCAAAAAGGTTGCTGAGACCAGTAATCACTTTGATGAATATCTGACGGAGGTTCTCACCAATGGTGAAGACGTCGATGCCGACATCTACGCTCTCATTGCACAGCGAGAAGGCTTGCGCGTCGATAGATACCACAGCTCTAAAGGTCGAAGACGTGACAAACGACGCGACCGCGACTCTGACAGTAGCTCAAGTAGCGAAAGTTCTTCAGAAAGCGACCACTACAGTAGACGCAAGAAGTCCAAAGAAGAGTCGAAAAAGTCGAAATCCAAAGCTAAGAAGACGCGGTATTCTAGCTCAGACGTAGACCAGTCCGATAGCGAACACAAAACAGACCGCAGCCAGCATGATTCGGAGAAAGATCGAAAGAAGCGCAAGGCAGTGAAGAAGGGCAAGTCGAGGAAAGATGTGCGCAGCGATTCGGACAAGGACAATACTTCTTCCAGTGATTAGGTTATTACAATCGAGAACGTCTCGTTCTTACTGTTTTGCTGTAACAATTTTATTATCATTCTTCAATTTATTTGTGTGATGATGGAAGGGCTCTGCTACTCAGGGAGTACTTCGATATCATGAGTAGTCTACTTCTGTGATTGCAACGTATCTCGTATCCAACTAGAATGACTAAATTTATCCCGGTGGAATAGCCATATCTATCTATACCCACCAAACGGTGCCTCGCGGCAAGCTTGGAAGGAAAAGGAAACACGGCAGGTGCCTTTTGATTGGCCCTAGTTAAGCTGCAGCCATGACGCCACTCGTCACCAGCCACGTAACCGACTCTCCACTACAAACAATCACTCACCTACCTACATTGATGACGTATACTATTTACGGCCCCCTTACACACATTACCTACTAGATCGATACATAAATCACGCCAAAATGTCATCTCGCGGGATCCCCGAGGTGTTGATGCAAAAGGTTGACGATTACGTCGACTCGCTGGCGCCTCAGATCCAGCCCCGCATTGCTTCTGAGCTGGAGACATTCCAACAAAAGACCATCGACAGCCTCGAGACACAAGTTATCGACGCCTTTCGCTCACTCTTCAACAAGGACAGACCTTCTTCGTCGGGTGGCAGCCGCTCGGGGCCCTGGAACCTCAATGACGCAGCGCCAGATGCTTATGGCGGGCAATCACTACCCTTTGCAGACGAGATTGCCAAATTGACCAGGGGTTTTGGCCAGATCTCTGAAGATGCAGGCGGTGATCTCCGCGAAATCTTCAATCTCACAGAAGGAAGCAGAGGCGGCAATGAGCAGAGCAGATCTCTAGAAGGAGGGGGAGGCGACTTTTCCTCTGGAGCGCGGGGCTTCCTTTCCTCTGCACTCAACATCGTACAAGAGCAGCTCGATGAACGAGGATCCAAGGGAGGCCAGTCTTTTGAAATTGGTGGTGTGCTTGGTATGATTAGTAGCACCATCAAGGATGCGTCGCAGAATCCAGAGGAGAAGGCGCGACTCATAAGCCCGGAAATCAAGCAGACTGTCGGCGAAAAGCTGCGCTCGCAACATGCACCTATTGCTGAACAGTTCACGCGTATCGCTCTAGATCACATCAAGCGCTGGCTGCGCGGTAACACAAGTACCCGTGATCTGGGCGACGGTGCCAAAGCCGAGATTGCAGAGCAAGTTGGCGATCTTGTCAAAGGCTTAGGAAGTCTATTCGGTAGCAAGAAGAGCGGCCACGAAGAGTCCTCTCGCGGTATCGACGAAGCCAATCGCGATGGCGAAGGTGGCAGTGGAGGTTTCTCCCGCGTCATTAGCGACAAGCTCAGCACCGGTCTTGCTAAAGTCCACCGTGAAGTGCGTCTTGAATTCCGCAAAGTCCTTGGCGAGATCGAGAAGCAACTCTTTGAACTCCTGCCCGACCAGTTCCAACGCCCGCTTGAGAAGATCTTCGGCGGCAATCCGTTCGACTCCCAGCTCGACCGCGATGCATCCGGTCCTGCTGACCGCGGCTTTGGCGATGACATCAAAGCCAAGCTGCTTGGGAAAATCCGCGATTTAGTACGCAAAGTACAAGAGACACTGCGTGAAAGTATCCTGGGTGTCGTGAACGGTGGCCACCGCAAATTCGAGCGCGAAAGCTGGGTCTTCGTGCAGGCAATGGTCGAGCAGAAGGTGCAGCGATACCTCCCTGATGTCAAGATCAACGTACCAGACGACATTGGAAACGAGAATGTCAGTGTAGGCGATCCGACGTCGAACTCTCAGCACATGGGTGGAGGACAATCACAGCAACAGCACACGGCTCCTCCTCCCCAGCAAGGCTATGATGAGCCGCCACGCTACCAGAACAAGCAACAATACCAGTCGCAAGACTACCGCCCAGAACATCATGCTCCTCAGCAAGGCTATCCGCCTCAAGACTACAACAGACAAGATCAATATGCACCGCCTCCGCAGTCTTACCACCAACAAGCTCCCCCGGAGTACAGATCGTCAGAGCAGCAACAGTACCCCCCGCCGCCTCAGCAGGGGTACCAGCAACATGGCTCCGGACAACCGGGTTACCCTCCGCGAGAGTATCGCGAGGGTGAGTATCGGAGACAGGACTATTAGAGCAGACTTGGGTCGTGATCACTACGGGCTTTGATTGGTGTGAGTAAGAAGATTGGCATAATACCTTGTCGCCCCTCTATCCGTATATGAATTCCAATGTGTGTGATGCATACAATAGAACAAATTTTCGATGACTGTGTGCCATGAGCAAGTCTGATAGGCAAGTTGTGAAGATTGATTGTATCTAGCTCCCAACTTGTCACAAAACAGCCTATAAAAATAGTTTTCACTTTCACCAAATTGCTTCTACATTATGATCGTGTAGGATCATCGTTTGCGACATAACGATGAGTTTGAGACGATCATACTGTAGAAGTGATTTGGTGAAAGTGAAAAAGTCGAAGGGAGTCCCCGATTCTAAATGACAAAACCACCATGTTCTCCTCGCTAAAACAATGCTACCTAATATATGAATAATCTCGAAACTCCATATATGCAAAAGAACTGAAGCCCATGGTATCATGATTCCTTTCCTCCCAAAAACAACCGTATTGCTATGGCACATGGCCATGTTCGCCATACAAACGCCCCAGTGCATCAGCATCGACACAACGCGATGCATACTACGAAGATGAAGAAGCAGAATCATCGGCAGCAGGGGATAGCGCAGCCCCAGCTGTACGGAGACCTTTCACTGCGGCATCCACCTCATTACTAGCCATTTTTTGCCATTTCTCCCTGGTGTCCTGATCTGCAAGTGCATCGGCACCAGCCTCTCCCACTTTTTCATATAACAAACGCGACACGTCACGATTGACGTCTGTATACTCTTGTTTTGTGACTTCCTTCTTCAAATAAAGTGGCTTTAACACAGCCGTCACCATGCGTTGCAACTCAGCCTTGGTAGAGTAGGAAAGTGCGGGTCGGGTAGGCGAAGAATCCTTTGAACGGGGCGGACTGCTAAGCCCAGCAGCAGAGCGATGCGCGAGCCGGCGACGGCTCGGACGATCGTCATCGGCAGGAGAGTAAGGCGAGTAAGTAGGTGACGGCTGCTGATCTTTCAGTGCTGCAGGTGATGCAGTACGAGTGAGGTTCAGAGGCGGCGGGGTAGTCATGCCACGAGGCTGCTGGTATACAGGCGACAACCCAGGCGATGAGTGTGGAGGCGAACACGCGCGTTCAACGATGATTCGCCGAGGTTGGGGGGCGGCAATCTCCTTATCTCGTTCGGCAAACCGGTCAACCTCCACTTCCTGGAGAAGCGACTGCAGAAATCCGGGGGCTGGGGCAGATGCCTCCCCATTTTGAGCCGCTGTGGGTGAGGAGGCAGCAGCGGGGGCATGCGTCGCAGTATTGCGACGAGCAGCAGCCGACGATGATTCTCCTGGGTCAATGAGCATGCGAGTTCGAGGACGCTTGAGCTTGCGTTCCGGTTTTTGCTCGCAAGGCTCATTATCAGAAGGGGAATAGTCGACAGACTTCCGCTTGCGTCCCCGTCTACTGCTAGTGCTTGCCACACTAGGTGCAGGTTGTGCGTCCGTTTGTGCAAGTTGTTCGCGCGCTTTCTCAAACTGGTTCCATGCACGTAACTCTTCTTGTGACTCCGGGTCTTTCGGTGTCTTTGGGGGCTCGCGATGCAATGTGCGATTGGTAGTTCGTGCAGTGAGGTTGGAGTTGCGCCGTCGGTTAGTCACTACATTGTCGGCGGCGATCTGGAAACGATTGCCTGCTCCTGCTCGCCGCGCTACGCGCATACGCTCCTCCCATCTACGGTCTTCGCGCCGCGTGATGTCGGATTGATTTTCTGACTGCTCTTCTTCGTCGAATGGAAATTCGATATCAAACTGTAGACGGTCCCATACACTCTGCCAAACTCCAACCCATTCGTCAGGGGCTTGGTTGTGGCGTGGTACGCGACTTCGGCCATTGATCCAAGCAGCAGGGCCCCGGATGGCGGGGCGTCTTCGGGACGCAGCTCCAAGCAGAGCAGGGTTCTCGACACAGCCCTGGCAATACCAAGGGCCACGCGTAGGCATGCGGTCAAGACCCGCGCAGAAGACATGGCATAGCTGCTCACAGCTGTGGCAGTACATGAGCTGGGATGAGTCACCGAACTCGTCACAGACCATGCATGCGTCATAACTTCCATCATCCTCCAGTATGTAGTCATCTTCAATAATCATGGACGGGTCGATTTCGGCGACTTGTTGTTTGTCTTGCACGGCGTACTCGGATATCTTGGGGCCTAATTACAGGTCAGCAGGTAGTTCAACATGTACGCCACTTGATGCGGCACGGCACTATGGGGCTGGGCAGAGTTTATGCTGAGCTCGACTGACCATTTAGCCAGTTACCAGGCGACTACCAGGCAACAACAGCAACGTCACAACCGAAAAGCTACGTAACATCCAGGACTGACATACCTCCAACGCGTGCGCTGAGCTCGACCATGTTGAAACTGGCTCGGCATATCGGGCAACTGTTCGCTCGTTCGACCCAGGGCTTGAGACAGTCATTGTGAAGGTCATGGCCACATGGCAGTAAGTGTGCGACCATTTCATCATCATTGGTCGAATCTACAGTGGCCTTGTTATCCTTGGCATGGTGTTCGTGTGGGACATCGGCGCCATGCTCAAGTGGGTAGGTCGCAAGCGGAGATGCGGTGGCGGTAGGGCCGACATCGTGGTGGACGAGATCGCCGAGGCAGACTATACACGTCTCGGCCATTTGTGTGGTGTTTAGAAGTGAAGGAGCGGTAGGACTCGTCGACGCGATTCATAAGTTGGGAAGATGATCAGGTCGAGAGAGCGGGGACCGTCGTTTATGTATGGGGGCGCTAGTGGCTTGGCTGGCGGATCATTGATCATTCATGACCCTGCAGCAGCCACACTCCCGTATCACCCCCGGAACCCCGTGATGCACGCCAGAAAAAGGATAACGAGGTGGATCCTTCTGTCATCGCGGCGACCGACGGGCCAAACGCAGGTACGCGGCCTATTGCTGTCTTACCCAACCAAGGATTTCCGTCTATCCTTTTACCAAGTATGGAATTATCGCAGCGAACTGTATTGGCAACCACGGTACCATCGCAACACATGCGAACGAAAAATTCCTTTAGGGAACAGGACAGCCTGCGAGCTCAATTTCGAGATCAGTGCGGACGGAATATAGACACAGTAGTAATAGTAAAGTTTAGTCAGTTTGGGGCATACCTTACCACGTGTCAAAGATTCCCCAGGTACATGTCCTTCTGACTTGCCAGGTCACTGAGTGGTTACTCGGAATGCAAACATGTCTCAGCTTGGATGCTATTCTTTGATGGCGTCATCTCTGCGTGCGGTCCGTCTCGACACACACGCAACGTATCCCGTTGCACGTACATTGGAGATGTTGGAACAGGAAGGTCGGCTCTACCACGACAGCTTGTCTAGTGTGGAATTCTGAAGCGGCTTTCCTTGTTTAGGCGCTGTCACTGTAGATGCATTGATAAGATAACGGCCATTACCGGGTTATGCGCAGAAGCTCCGTTCATGCCCAGAGATATAAATTGGCCTGTAGCCTTTGTGTTCTGATGTCGCGCATGGCGCTCTCTTCACGGAGATGGACAATTGGAACAGAGACAAGACATGGACGAACGCGGCGCCACCGTGAGCCAGGTGCTGGCAGACCAGTCATTGTAGCTAGCTTTTTCGGTTCATTCGGAAGCGACTCGATAGTCTCTGGTCCGGAAAAGGACATGTTTGGATCTTGTATTTCTACGTCTAAAGCCTCGCGCGGCTCTGTAAGCGCCAGGGCAAGGAGCCGCTCGACGCGCAACGCGACCTCGCGCTGGAGGCACTAGTCTTCGCAGACTGGCAGGAAGTGAAGATTATCGCTTCCTCGATTCTGATAACCTACAGCATCTTGTATGAGTTAGCGACGTTGCTGGGACGATGCTTGCAGACGCTGACCACTTCATCCGCCGTCGCACCCTCCAGCCGGGCTATCCGGTTTCTCTACATGCGCTGTCGACAGTCCAGTAGCGGATAAAGGAAAATACGCCCCTAACGCGTGATCTAAAAACGACGTCTCGAGTGGAGGCAGAGTGACAGCGGTGTGAAAATCTGGTTCTCGTTGGAGGGGCATCCTCCATCTCTGAATCTCAGTGTCAATGCCAAGGCGGCTAGCCACTCGCAACCTAGCTTACTAACAAGCTGATCAGGCACACCCATTGCTTTTCTGTAAAACCCACTATTCCTAATGGCGTATCTGGCGTAGTTATATAGTATACTCTTTGTATACCAGCGTGTCGGGTATTTCATGTTACCCAATTGTGTACATACTATAGGTTTCAGTGTGGGTGGCAATGCAAATGCCGTCTGTATCGTGCGCGCCGGCGCCTGCCTACCTCGGCATGACCTCAGGTATACCAAAAGAAGAGCCATGTCCGACTCGTGTAGAACTCGTAGATATGAAATTTGCCTTTTGTCAAAGTCACCTCATCCCTTGATTTCCTACAACTTCACCTAACCCATCGAATTCATTTCTACTGAGCTCTTTCGACAACAATGGCTCAGCAAGACCGCCAATACGAGCTGATCCTCTTGGGTGCCACGGGTTACACTGGGGCTCTCGTCGCAGAGTGGGTAACCACACATCTCCCGGACGACCTTCAGTGGGCCGTCGCTGGACGCAATGCAAAGAAACTACAGAGTGTCGTCGACAACTTGAGCAAACTGAGGCCAGATCGCAAGCAGCCAGGTACGTCATGCAGAATTTGCATTCGCAAACATGTGACAGCCAAAAGAAAAGAGCCAAAGCTAACTCACAGCAGCCATTGAGACATGCGAGCTCGAGCAATCGCAACTAGAAACGCTCGTGAAGAAGACCAAGCTCATCATCACAACCGTGGGCCCCTTTATGCACTATGGCGAGCCCGTACTCGCCGCCTGTGTCAACAACGGCACGCATTACCTCGACTCAACGGGCGAGGTACCCTGGATCTACGACATGATTGCAAAGTATGACGAACTTGCCAAGAAGAACAAGACCATCATCATCCCAGAATGCGGTTTGGACTCCGTTCCCGCAGACATTATGGCGTACGTCCTCGCACGCCAAGTGCGCAAGCGCTACAACGCCCCCTGCGAACGCGCCATCCTGACACTCTACGACTTCAAGTCTGGAATCAGCGGTGGCACTTCCCTTACCATGCTTGAGCTGTTCAAAAAGTACCCTCTGAGCCATCTCGCAAAGTCGATGCACCCGTATTCGCTATCGCCCGTCAAGGCGGACCAGGTGGTCGGCTCGCCACCAGCCAGCTTCCCGTACAACCTGTTCGGACTGCTAAGCATCCCAGAACTAGGTGGTATTCAAACCACGGGTCTCATGGCCAGCGTTGATGTATGCATTGCTCACCGCTCATGGGGTCTATACCAGACCTCTTCCGACGAAACGCAGCAATACGGCCCCAAGTTCCGCTTCAACGAGTTCGCGCGCGCACCTAGTTTCTTCATGGGTCTTGCGCAAAAGGCTGTTCTTACTGCCGTTGCGATTGTTCTCGCGATTCCTGCCATACGCTGGATCCTAGAGCCGCTCCTCAAGAAGGTTATCCCGAGCCCTGGCTCAGGACCCTCAAAGGAGAGCATGAAGGATGACTTTATGCACTACCGCGGTGTGGGCTCTACCGCGCAGGGAAAGAAGGTTATCGCGCACCTGGAGGTTGCGCACGGTGGTTACGTGGCGACGGCTATGACGCTCAGTGCTGCTGCCAGGGTTATCTTGAGGGGCAGACTTGAGGACACTGAGGCTGGTAGGCTTGGTGGTGGCATCCTCACGCCTGCGACGTTGGGAGATGTGTACATAGAGACTCTCAATGAGTTTGGAATGAAGATTAGGGTTGATGAGTAGGTGTCTTTGGAATAGATCGTAAGCTTTGTACGACCTCGCATGGTCGAATTAGATACACAACTACGCCATAACATCAATTGTCTGCTTTCTCACATCGAACACTACGCAATCTCTATTATACACAGCAATAGTTTGGCTTATGTAATAAATATGATCAGCTGCAATGTGAGGCATATAAACAACTTCAAACGAATTACAAAAGGTTTGATTAGGGTAGTATAGGGAAGCTTGTATATAAGGTGCGTCCCTAAGTGCAGAGACACACTGTGTCCCGAGACAGGTTGAAAGGGGCCAACCCTGAGGGAAATTGCCAGAAAGAATCAGATGAATTCGTTAACCTAAGATCTATGGAGGGCTATCCGGCTATATAGTTTCTTCGGATAGATATCCGGCTTCCGGATATCTTTACCGGTAACCGATTTGTCGGGCGGGTCCTTCGTCCGGTATCGGCAGGTTCTGATGTTCTGGTCTCCGAGGCTTCCAGCCGAGTCTTATCCGACTGGGCCTAGCCCATTACACAGGTTCACACTACGGACGTCCGGAATACGCTGGTAAATGGGTCGGGGTTGGGTTGGGGTTGGGCTACCTTAATAGGTAATGACTAGTTCCAAGTTAGCCTAGTCATTACCTATTAAGGTGACCCAACCCCAACCCAACCCCGATGTAAAGGCACTAGTACACTGCAATAGTTAGGATGCCTCTAATAAGTGAGATTGTGTGTACAGATCTATGTACAAGTACGAGGGGAACTTTATTATTCCTCGCACGGGCCACCTGCCAGCGTGGCACGTGATTGTATGGCACGTGATCGCGTGAGGGATCGTAGGTTTGATCCATCACATCGTTACGTTAACGTTGATAATTAGCTCTTTAACGACACCCCCCTGTCTATTAACGATTATACAAAGTAATTAACCACTCCGAGAATTATAAAGAGAGCACGAAGAAGGAAGACTAATTCCTTTAGCTCGTGATCTTATTTTAGCGTGGAAGCGAGCATTCCGGGAGCTCCGTTGCTCGAAGCAGGCGATCTGTGAAAACGAGCCTGAGCTGGCGCGACGCGCTAGTGTCTCTTAGCATGTAGGGGCCTGCATTAGCGCGCTTGTCCCCCACTGTATTCTATTGTAATGAACTTAGCGCTATGCCCACCCTATAGCACCTCGAAATAGATGTAGCGTGCGCTGCTGAATTACTAGAAGCATAGTCCTGTTCTCCTACGCGCCATGTCCCTTTCTAGGCCAACTTAAAATGCTCACTGCGTACTGTCCCTAACTGCTGCCGTCGTCTCAAGACAATCGGTAGGATACATGAACAAAGTTATTCGGGCATTGACGCAAGATTATTCTCCTGGTGTTGATGCGCACCTGAATTGAGCAGCATCTTGACTATCTGCTCGTGGCCTCTGTATGAAGCTGCCTGCAGTGCGTTGCCGTACTCTCCGCCCTGTGCGTTGACGTCGGCGCCCGCGTCGAGCAGCGTCTTGACCACCTGCTCGTGGCCTCCGTATGAAGCTGCCTGTAGTGCGTTGCCGTACTCTCCGCCTTGCGCATTGACCTCGGCGCCCGCGTCGAGCAGCGTCTTGACTACCTGCTCGTGGCCTCCGTATGAAGCTGCCTGTAGTGCGTTGCCGTACTCTCCGCCCTGCACGTTGACCTCGGCGCCCGCGTCGAGCAGCGTCTTGACTACCTGCTCGTGGCCTCCGTATGAAGCTGCCTGCAGTGCGTTGCCGTAGCCTCTACCCTGCGCGTTGACCTCGGCGCCCTTGTCGAGCAGCATCTTGACTACCTGCTCGTGGCCTCCATCTGAAGCTGCCTCCAGTGCGTTGCCGTACCCTCCACCCTGCGCGTTGACCTCGGCGCCCTTATCAAGCAGCGTCTTGACTACCTGCTCATGGCCCTGAGCTGAAGCTGCCTGTAGTGCGTTGCCGTAGCCTCTACCCTGCGCGTTCACCTCGGCGCCCTTGTCGAGCAGCATCTTGACTACCTGCTCGTGGCCTCTGCATGAAGCTGCGTACAGTGCGTTGCCGTAGCGTCTACCCTGCGCGTTGACCTCGGCGCCCTTGTCGAGCAGCATCTTGACTACCTGCTCGTAGCCTCTCTCTGAAGCTGCCTGCAGTGCGTTGCCGTAGCGTCCACCCTGCGCGTTGACCTCGGCGCCCGCGTCGAGCAGCGTCTTGACCACCTGCTCGTAGCCTCTCTCTGAAGCTGCCTGCAGTGCGTTGCCGTAGCGTCCACCCTGCGCGTTGACCTCGGCGCCTTTGTCGAGCAGCAAATTCGCCATCTCATACTGGCCGGTCTTCGCCGCGAAAGTCAAGGGAGTGTTGCCCCTACTGTCTTTCGCGTTCACTGCCTCTACAATAGGCACATCTACAGTAGCCAATATCTTTTTAGTTATGCCAGAGAGCCCAAATTGTGAAGTGTAGTGTAAGGCTGTACTAACACGATAAGCTGTACTATACCCTCTGTACTTGTAGTTAGGGACCCATAAAGCCTGTGCGACACATGGGAAAGACTTCCCCTGTAGCAACTCACAGGTACGATCGGTAACCTCTGTTTCGACTCTTCCTGCATGGCTTCCTAAGTGTTTAGCCGCATAGTCTAGGAATTGATTTTGCTGCAGTCTTGCCTCAAACTCCTTGTCAGTAGAGCAGCTACCGCTTTGGAAAGTGTCGAAACACAGATAGGTAAGGCATGTAGTAGTGATATTCAGCTGTCCGCCTTGGTTCCATACGTCTCCAGTTCGCTCCAAGTATTCCTGTGTAGTGTAGTGCACGAGACGGATGACAGCGCTCTCTTCATCAATAATAACAAGACCGGCGCATACAGACACTAGATCCCCTGGAGTAAGTACATTCTCTGGGTCTATTTCATCTTCGCCGGGCTCAACTGCTAGGGCGCAGCAGATCTCAGCGGTGGTAAGCGGCCGTTCAGCGAGCGTAATCCAAGACAGGACCTTTCCAGCTAGTTCGCGGTCACCCCCCAGTTGACCGTCGATCCTCTGAAGAGCCTCTCTGTACGCGAAGTCAAGTGCGGCTGCACCCTTCGTAAGTTTGTCGAGGGTCGTTTTCACGTCTTTTGCTGTCCTCTTGTCTAGCAGCGAGTCTGTGTGCAGACGAGCGAGAAGAAACCTAGGATCGTGTAAGTGTGCATTACTATCTAAGTTCAGTGAGAGGCTTACATGCCGTCCACCGCATCTGTTATCTTTTTCTGCACTATTTCCTGCAGCGCTATGCTGCGTTGTATGCATGCAGGTAGTTGGTACGTTTGGCCGGCCACGAAACGTTTAACATCCTCTCTGCTAGCCTGCACCTCGAGTCTCGGCGCTTCTCCGAAAGCGTCCTCAACGTTTGGTATGAAACGCGAGGTGGCCATTAGGCGAATGTCTTGGGTTGCTTGGAGATTTCGGAGTTTGGCTAGGAACTGGCGGCGAGTAGCATCCTGACATTCGTCTAGCGCATCGATCACTATATGTACAGAAGAATAATGTGCAAGCACGTCTCGAAGCGCGCTGTATACCTCGTCGAGTGATGGCTTAGTTCCCCGGTTGGCATGTTTCTGATACAACCGTTCTATGTGATCTACCATCGACAATCGACCCTGGACTAGCTGCTTGAGGATGGCTGCTAGTAGGCTTAAAACGTCTTGCTCCTCTCGAGCTTTGTAGTTGCAGTACACATAAGCGACCCCATGTGAGCTGTTCTGTACTGTATTTAGCAGATGATCGATTGCAATAGCTGCGATCATAGTCTTGCCCGCTCCTGGGATACCTAGGCAAAGGAGCGTAGCATTGCTTTCGTTGAGCCAATATGCTAGCTCAGGTGCATCTAGAAACCACTGGCCTGTCCCTTCCTGCCTGCGCTTTATGATGTCCGATTGCTGAGCGGGGTAGTCTGAAGTCGATAACCATTCTATAAGCCTGCGGTGCTTTGCCGAGTCTTGGCTCTGTCGAATTGTGTCTACCCCGGACTGGATGATAGGTACATGCGCCCGAACGAAGCTAGTGTCGTCTTTGATAGCTTTCGAAAGTTTGCTTGTATGTATAAGCTATGTCACTTTGGAGTGCTAGTGTGGAAGCTTACAAGTGATCCATCTGCAATGCGATCTCTACCAGCGTCTTCAGCCGCTCCATCCGAGCTAAAACCTCTGCAATCTCCTCCTTCTTAAACTTCCACATCAGCGCCTCACCAGCTTTCTTCAGTCGCCCCCCATCAGTCATCTTAGCCTGCAGCATTTCTAGGGCCTGCTTGAACTGGTCCAACGGCCCATGCTTAACTGCGAGCGCTTGGACAGCAATGTACCACGGTCGACTAGGGTCCCCCTCTTCCAGACGAAATCTCAGGTTGAAGAGAAGGTTGTGGAGATTTGATGCCTCAACTGCACACGCCACGCGGTCTTTCGAGGCATCCTTAACGTCGTTCAGGTAGCTGAGGACCTTAGCTGAGAGCTGGAGAATCGCGATGATGCTGGCTGTGACGCTAAGCGGGTCCATACTGCAAGGAGCAGCAATTCGGTTACAGATGTGTACGATCTAGCGACGATGAGAGTGAAGGCCGACATGATGAACGAGCGATCAGGCTGAAGACGGTGCGGCGGCAAGGCTGAGCAGCTGCGAGCAATCAGCACGGGGTTGCGTGGTAGCTTATCGATAAGGCCGCTGCGGTCCCATAATCACAACTACACGACAATTTCTGACTTGACTGTATAACGCGAGCGCTCTAGGTTAAGAACTATGATGCTGCACGGCATTTTCGAAGACTGCAAGTAGTATGAATGGCTTATGTTAAGCATCTATCACAGAACACTGTGATCCGCTAGGCACGCAATGCCAATTAGATTGGGCAGGCTAACATTAACATCTTATGCTAAGACTAGAGCGATGGATGAACAACTGTCTAGTAGGTTTAGGTAGGTATAAAAGAATATAGAAATAAGGTCGTATAGGCAGCGGTAACTTAGATGCATTTCGAAAGCTATGAGCATGCGCCATATCTATTTCGAGGTACGCATAGGGTAGGCATAGCGCCGTATTCTTTGTAATAAAATACAGCAGGCGAGGAGCGCGCTAATGTAGGTGTCAGAATATGGGCATATTTTGGGTGGTGGACAAAATCCGGGTGTTCGGAGCTGTGGATTCTGTGGATCAGTTAAATTAGTCAGCGCGCACAATCCACCGCGACCCAACTGATCGAACAGCGTTGGACAAGAACACAACACGACATCAGACCAGAACAATACTATTATCCCCGTCTTTGATAACCCATCACAATCTGACAGTAGGCGTACGTACGCTAAGAGGCACTAGCGCGTCCCGCCAGCCTAGGCTCGTATCTAGAGATTCACTACTTCGCACAACGGGGTTCCCGGCATGCTCGCTCCTACGTCGGAATTATCTCACGAGCCTAGGAAATCGATCTTCCTTCGTCGCGCTCTCTATATAACCCTCTAAGCGCTTAATTAGTTATTAAAGTCGCTAATAGATAGGGGGTATCGCTAACGAGTTGATTGACGATAGTAACGAAACGATCGATATAACAGTTAACATAGCGGCGATTCATATCAGACGCTAATTTTCTTAAGAAGCAATTACCACTTAGTTACAATGAATTGAAGACAGCTTTACACACCTGCGAATGGGGAACGCCGAAGGTCCGAAGTGCAGACTTGTCTCGCGACATGGTGTGTCTCCTCACCTAGGGACGCACCTTAGAGAAGCTAAGCTCACAGGCAACTATGTGCTCCACAAAGCCAGTAAAAGAAGCGTTTGTATGCTGGTAGCTATGAAGGTATGAGAGTAACCGCGATCCCACAGTCGCAGAGCTAAACTTACAGAATTGCCTGCTGTTCATGCTATCACGCAGTGGAGTATCATGTTTAATAGTGAGGTACAGTTACAGTGTGAAGATGAGAGAACCATCTCAGATTTGAGGGGCTCATACATCGCTACCGTACGCTTCTCAAACAACACTAGGTCAACGCCACGAAATGCGTCATCCACGTGGTCTGTAATTGGTAATGTGGTGTGAAAAAGATAGCAGATCCGCATGTTTTCTTCTTCATCTTATAGTATTGATGCCCATTCGCACACTTCCTAATCCACAAACCAAGGATGCTTCAGCAACTCTTCAGCACTCCGTCTCATATTCGGATCATATACCAGAATCTGCCGCATTATCGAAAGAAAATCCGCCGCTTCTTCATTAGTGATCTCAGGGTTTTTGTATTGGTTAAAGTGCTCCTCAAGGGAGCTATATTTAACAGGGGCCTCATCACCATATGGGTTGAGCGGTTCACGATTCGGACCGTACCAGTCGCTAGAACCAGGCCATGCTTTCATAGTATCGTCTGGAAGTGGGGATATGCGGTCGTTCAGTTGGAGGAGATGATCATCGTCTGCATCCTCCTGCGCCTCGGAGTCAGGTCCGGATAGCATGACAGAGAAGAGCGACCTTGACGTCAACAACTCGAACATTAAGCATCCAATGGCCCAGATATCAACCCCTCTGCCGAACTTTTGGCCAAGGATCAATTCTGGGGCTCGGAGTCCGATGGGTGTCACGGTCCGTGCTTGTGTATCGGCTGCCCAGAACGCTGAAGATATATGTCAGAAGATGTAATTGCAATATCGATACTGACGACTTACATGAGCCTAGATCAAACAGCTTTACCATGAGCTCTGAATCAAGTTTTATACGGTCGTGTAGAGACTGCTTGAAAAAGAGTTTCTTGGGAGCCCACAAGTCCGTCTTCCCATCTAAGCGTTCCACAAGCACCTCAGTCGAGGCTTCGTCTTGTAGGAGCTCTTTCTCCTCCACACCTTCTATACTGTCAATAGAGAAGAGGATGTTCCCCGGCTGAACATCCCCGTGAATCACCCCATTTCGATGTAGGAAAGCCAATCCCCGCAGCGCATGTGTAAGTATCTTCCGAACAACCCATTTCGGATATCTCGAGACTTTCCCGTGCCTTTGGGGTTTGTTTTCCGGTAGCTCTTCCACCAATGAAGCAGCTGTCTCGCCCATTGGCACAGTCCGCAACAATCAATTAAGTGGGTCCTAGAAGGTTCAGATTGGATTGATTGATTACCGCTTTAAGCCTAGTAGTTACCTATAGGAGTTTAAGCCCTACCTAGATAGGTAAGTGGGTCTAGGAGAGTGACCGGATTGAATTGATTGTTGCGGAGTCTACCCATTGGTTCAAAAACCAGACATTGGTGCTTTCCATTGGGGCCTTTATGCTGAAACTCGTCTAATAGTACAGTGACATGGCGAGAATATGGGTCTCCGATGGCCTTTGTTGAGAGATGTTGGAGTATCGACAGCTCCGTCTCTGACAATTCAACGTTGGCAGCCATGATTTTGAGTGCGACGTAGCGTGGTGTACTATCTCGGTATGGTTGTTAGAACTGCTTCTATGAGGGTGCGGTAGAGAAAGGAATTGGTTCAATGTACCCGGTACTGACAGCTAACCATACAGTAGAGAATGAGCCGTAGCCCACAGAGTCCGCAACAATCAAGCGATAGGCAGATTGATTACCTGATTAGGTCTGTCACGGACCAGATAGTGATCTTTCGAGGCCTAATCCGGTAATCAATCTGCCTATCGCTTGATTGTTGCGGACTCTGGTAGCCCAGCTTTCGGATGACTCTGTACTTGCCGTTCTGGAACATGTCGCCAAGGTTGACGGGATGGAAGTGGCCTGGACGATATTTTTCAGCCCACTCAGACACTCCTCGTGTGCTTTTGAATCTCTTCTCCTCACGACTCGACGGAAGCGCAGATGGCGGGGTCGGTGGGGGAGAAGCCATGGTGATTTTGGTGTAGAAACTGCCGACTTCGAGACCTCGGGAGGTGTTGAAGTTCCAACTGGTGGAGAATCAAAAGCGACAAGAAGATGACTGCTATATAGTTGCGAACAAAGAAAGAGGAACTCATTGCATTGATTATGATGACAGCGCGCCCTTCTAAGGAGTGGAGCCCTTACGAAGAGTTGTTATCACCGGTCGAGAATCGTACCGGCTTTGTTTTGTCTTTTTTTTGGATACCTCACACGTTTTTAGGTAGTTCTGTACGTTACAATAACAAAGGGTTAGGCCCTTACAAAGTGTCGAGCCCTTACGAAGACTGGAGAAGATCTGCGACTAGAGGTCCATGCGCCCGTGACGATAATAAAGAGTCGATTCTACATGTGATCTACTCTTTGATGAGTATGCACACTATCCTATTACTAGCTAAGCTATTAATATCAAAGAGAATGGGTTACCCCACCAAACACTCCTTTTATCGCCAAGGCGTCCATTTCCAACTCAAAGAGAAACAGACTATGGGGTAAAAGGATTCGGACTTACTCTCTAGGCAAAGGAACAATGCTAAATCGGCTAAGTGTACGCTAAATATATCCCGTTTCAATGTAAGCACCATTAATTAGATCTCAACCTTTGGTCTCCAGACCAACAACAATGTCCATACCAAAATTCAACTACGCCCACTGCGACATGCCTCCTGCGCTCGTGTCAATCACCCTCCGACGTCATCATTAGCCATGCCCTTTCTTTGACAGCTTGATGAATAAGCAAAGTCCAGTCACAAAGTCCAGTCAAAAAGTCCAGTCACAAAGTCCAGTCACAAAGCTCAGAACACACCACGCGAACGATCGGGTGCAGACTTGTCAACAATCAATCAATCACTCGGACGCCTAAAAAAACCTCAAATCAATCAAATCAATCACGACTCCAAAAATTGTCAATCAAACCAATCTCGAGCTTCATGATTGATTGATTTGATTGTTGGACAAGTCTGATCGG